AGGCCAACTGCCAGTCGTTAATTGCATACGCCAAAAGGTCTTCACAGCTGTGATTGCGCCTGTAAGCAAACTGCTCCTGCGGTAATGCACCGAGTTCCGGATGATTGTGGAAGAATGCTACAAGTTGTCGGTGTACTACCTTCTCAAGCACTTTGGATATCACTGGCAAAAGTGACACTGGTCGGTAGTTGGAGCCAATAGTTGCGTCGCCAGCTTTGTAGAGTGGGCACACGTGTGCATGCTTAACACTACTTGGAACTTGGCCTGTATGCAGAGACTTATTGATGATAGCGGTGAGTGGGCCAGCGATGTCTGTGCGGCATCCTATGAGGAGACATGGTGGTATTTCATCGGAACCTTGTGCTTTGTGGCTGTTCAATGACTTCAAGACATCTTCAACATACTCTACTGTGACTGGCGTAAACTCGTTGAGAGTGGGAATGTCGACAGGTGGGCTGGGTAGAACAAGTTCAGACGGTCTTGCAGGATCACAAACTACGGTTGCAAATGTGGCTGTCAGGTCGGATATAGTCACCATAGGTAGTGATTTGACTTTTTCTCGTCCTGCAAGCTTGTTCAGGATTTGCCATTGGGCTCTGGGGTTGCGTTTGTGGGTGTTGAAGGCCTTCACGCAGTATTCTGTTTTGAGTTTCTTATTCAAGAGGGTTCCCTCGCGCCGTGCTGCCCGGTACTGCTGGAGGAGGGGGCCGTCGGTTGGGTTCCTTCGTAATTTCCTGTGCAAGTTTATTCGAAGCTGAAGAAGCTTTTTCAAGTGTGGCGTAACCCATGGTTGCCGACGAGGCCTGCCAAATCCAGACACCTTGAGCTGAGTGATCGGGGCATTTCTGTCCAGAACATGTCTCAAACACTTGGAAAAGTGCTTCACTTGACCGTCCAGGCTGGTGGGCGACTCCGAAGTTCTGAAACTTTCACTGATTTCCTGGCCACATTGGTCAAATTCCATAGAATGGGGTGCAGGCTTCCGAATCAGCCTGTGAGTGTGCGCAGGAATGGGCTCAAGGTTTTGATAGGCACATTGGACAATGATGAGATCGTGATCACTAACACCGTTCATTGAGACTACTTCCGCCTTGAGTACAGGGAACCGTCTGAAACCAGAGCAAGATCTAGGCAAGTGCGTGCTAAACGAGTGGGTTCAGTGATAACATTTCTGAGGTGATGCTCCGCACAGACACGCTGTAGATGGCGATTTCCTGGAGTCGTTGGCTGGAGGACATCAGTATTGAAGTCGCCTAGGATTAATGCATTCGGAGTTTGAAGGGCTAAATCAAGTTCAGAGCTCAACTGGTCCCAGAAATTCACTGTGGCAGACGGCGGGCGATACAAGGTGGACACACTAATGTCTGTTGCACGTGGCTTGGTAGCAAGACGGATACGGACAGTTAATATCTCTAGAGTGGATCCTGTAGATCGTTGGATTACGGTTCCAGCAAAGTGAAAATGAACATAAATGCAGACACCGCCACCGTATAGTGCGATCACAGCGGAAACCATTAAAGTTAGGTATGTTAAGGCGAGCATCGCTAACAGTGGAGTCCAGGTGATACTCGGTAATGCATAGGACGTGAACTTTATGGTCAGACAATAGTTGTTGAATTTCATGAGTTTTGTTTCTGAGGCTGCATATGTTTATGTGTGCTACTACAAGTGGGTCATGGGCAGAGTATTTAAGGAGACAAGCAGAGTGGATATTACTTGGGGTTTTACTTCTTACTTGATTGGGAGCTCCCAGAGGATCCTATCCTTGCATACTGCTCTGACCTGGGGCCATCAAGAGTTGCATGATCTTCTCTTCTGTAATGGGCTTGCCATCCACTAGGATTTTATCACGGGGAAGGAAACACTTCACATCGTGTGAACGGAGCTGCTTGTACTTCGGCAGGAGACTTCGACGGGCCTCTCTCTGTTGCATAGTTAGATCGTGGTTTACGTAAACTGGGTTCGTACCATGCTTCAAGCCAAAGCGCGCATCCATCAATTTGGCCTTGGTGGTGGCTGTCATCTTGGCGCGGATCAGCCTTGGTCGATCACCTCCTGGTCGTCCGAGTCGGTCTGCTGCAGTGAAGGTTGATGTCTCTATGTCCGGAACAAGTGATGCCAGCACATCCACTAGCGTCTCCTCAGCGTCCTCCTCTATGCCTGAAATAATGACATTGTCCCGTATCTGCAGTTGCATGCACTCTTCCTCAACCACATGGCGTACGGTGGACACGATGTCAAGGGGCACGTGGCTAGACACTGCAGAATGAGTATGGGTACTCATATCCTCTGTCAGGGGTTGTACGGTGCTGACCAGTTCCGTCTTTTCGCGCTCCAACTCGTTCACTCTGGCCTTGAGATCCTTCACCTCTTTGCTCAAATTGTCAACATTGCATATCAATACTGCCAGTCTCTCGTCCAAAAGTTCCGACATACACACCTTAAAATCAGCGAGTATATCTGGGGCCACAGCTGCCTTGGCAGAAGAGGTGGAACCTATAGCACTGGTTGGACCAACAGACCTAGGGATACCGGAGATGCCAGCAGCAGACTTTCCACTCGACCTCAAATCATCGGGAGGACTTTCGGCTTTCCGCCTACCAGAGTCACCGGCTTTCGGGGTCCGTACAGACTGGCTATACGTACCTCTCCCAGACATGGCTTTTCTTGCGAGAACCAGCTCGAATACAACAACAAAAAAGCCTTGGATGGTGGAGCTCCAAAAACTCAAACTACAGTCCATTCATCGGAAACCGGAGTCAATATTAGATACATATTTCAAGTCCGAGCTGAACAACCCAATCCCTCGGGTGTTCGTCCGTATGTTTCTTAACTATATGCAATTTTGTGTATTGAGGAATCTAATTTCAGGTGCCTCGAATGTTTTCTAAGTTTTTGTTTTATCATGGCTGTACCGGAATGCAAACTGTGTTTTTGTGAAGATAACTGGTACGTGTGCTCTGCGAACAAATCTCTTGGACGCATGGAGATACTTTACAATCCAACGCCTAAGACATATTATGAGGCCACCACCGCTTGTGCAGGGAGATTCAGCATTCTGGCCAATATCCAAAGCTTAAACCATGCAGAGTGCGCAAGGTCAGTGCTTGGACCACGAAATGGTCAATGCAGCAGTTCCTCAAGCGATAATTGCAAGATTGCCTCGTCTGGCTGCAAAGCCAACACATGCAATGTGTGGGTTGCTCTACAACGAACATCTAAAAATTGGACATGGGTGTTACCAGTTCCATCCATACCGAGCACAGTTCCCTGGATAAATTCAACAACAGGAGGTAGTGGAGAAAGAAAATGTGGTTACTATTTACCTGAAAAAGATGATTTCGGAATCGAATCTTGCACAATGAAGCTAAGTTTCTACTGTCAAAGATATACACCAAATGGTAAGGTATACTACGTAGGACTACACTAGCGAATAGATATCAGTTTACCTTTATGAACATTGGTTTAAGAAATTCATGCCGATTTTCAAGCAACACTCTTCCCATTCACCGACCTAATATCGTATGCATTCACTGTGTGAAGAAGAAAACAATTCAAAATTATACTATGGGCTTTTGGCAATAAATGAAGTTTCGAAGGGGTAATCCACTTTAGCCAATCCATTATGTAACTCGGCCTGTGACGTTTGCAATGACCGCTACTACCATATCACAGCTATAGTGCTCACCAAGTATTAAATACTTGGTGATAAATTTTATCCTTTATACCTGGTACGAAGATGAAAGGAGATTTGCAGCACCAAAATGACTTAAACACAGTTCAGATAGGTAAACAAAATAAGTATAAACAGAATGAGATGAAGCGACATGTTACGTATGTAAAATGGTGATGGACAAAGAAATCAAAGTATTATTATGTCCTCTCTCGTTATGTTTGACAGGGAAACTCTCGCGAGTTTCTACTCTTGATTCATCTTTATCTTTAAGAGAGCATGTCTGAGAACACCAAAGTATGTGTACAAGTGGATCTCTCCGATTTCTTTTGCAGTAAAATCCCAAAACTACACGCAAAAATTCAGTCACTTTTGCATCAACTGTTGTACCGAAAATGTTGATGGCGCAAGGAGAAGCTTGTCGTTTGGAGTGACAAGTGATCACCGCTGCTTTTCCTTGTCAGAGTCAACAATATACTTTGTTCCGCAGCGTTGGGAGTGGTGTTGGAGTAGAAATTGCTGACTAGATGTCGCGGAGGGGCGAGCTTTCCTGCGCAAGTATGAGTTTGGACGTATTTCAGAATGGTCGAGTGGAAAAATTCAAAACTGTTTATTTCAAGAAAACCCAAAAAGGATGATGGGGGACATGTCATCAGTGCTAGAAGAGGTGTTCTACTCCAGGACTATGTGTGTAGAGGGAGAGTGTGTTATCTTTGCAGATGCTTGGTGGCACAGGAAAGTGTGCCCAGTATTTCATGATGTGTTGACCATGTTTGCCTACAACTCCCAGGTTCCGTTTTTGAGGTTTTGGCACTTTAATCATTTTTCAATAGGTTGAGGTGTTTTTTTTTCCTTACTAAAAACTGTACGTAGTTACATTTTTTCCAACATTCCCTGTGCTATCTTGATGAGGAGTGAAGGAAAGCGTTGGACGCATGGAGAAAGCGTTGTTTAGATGAAAGAAAGTGTCTACTTGATAGTGTCGATTTGCGTCTCTGCATGCGAAGGTATAGATTGCGAAAATATGGGGTTTTGTTCTAAAGTATGTAGTGCCGCTCTCAAAATGTAATGGGTAGCCAAGTGGTAGGAGCGGTGAAATCAACAAGAATTACTTTTATTCTACTTCTTTCAGGTACACACCTGAGATAATATATTTTAATTATTAATGAAAGCAGAAGCGGCAAAATAACTTTCTCTCCGGTGTAAACCTGGAGGTTGAATAGCTCGTTATTATTAAAATCTACCTGTTCCAATCGCTGCAAAAAAACGTTTTTTGGATTACTGCACCACTACAAGAGGGTGGTGGACGGTACGAATGCGGATATTATTCCCCGGAGAAAGACAGTTTTGGAATCGAATCTTGCTCAATGAAGCTAAGTTTCTATTGCCAAAGATATACACCAAAAGGTAGGGATCTCATAGAAATTCTTTCACACACCCATTAGGCTACTCTTATACTTGCCTAACAGCCTTTCCGTATTCACCTTACTATGCACTAAAGGGGCTGATAATGTAACATTATTTTGTAAACAAAGGTTGCTTTTAAAACTTGCTAGCCCACTAAGGCCATTCAATGCACATTTTTCGATCCATGATCATTATCACAACTACCATAATACAAAGATCGGGATCCATGTACATTTCTTCTTCCAAAACCTTCGGGTTTGTTTTATTCCTAGGGAAAAATGGCTTGGGCAGGCAATTACCACTTGGCGCGGTGATTGGAGAGATTTATAGCCAGCTTCGGGAGTACGAAAATGTATAGAAAGAAAAATCGAAAAATGAAGAATGAAAAGTTGAAAACTTGTGGTCAGGTGCTTTTTGCAGGGGTACGTGGGTGCTGCTAATGGGGTTTCTCCCTCAAGCGCTCAATATCCCGCTAGGGTCTAATGGGGTGAATAGACTTGGTGTTGTGAACCCTCTGGTTCTCTAAAGTGTCAGGAACGAACGACCCCACACGGCACGAGGACAACTATTTATTCTCAACAATATCTTTCACTTCCATCGACTAATAACAATGAACAATGAATGGAACAACTGAATGAACTGAACTAACTGAATGAACTGAATACTAGCACTAAAACCACCAGGTAGTTATAGCGTGAAAATGACAGCGTATATGAGAAAAGCATACACATACAACATACAACTACAGCGCACTCAGCAAACCGCATATAGCGCATGTAGCGTATACTACGTCGTAAACATCAACTGTACGGCGGAGTCGGAATACAACTGTATTGGAACGAACACAATGTCACAAGCGAGAAGGCCTTTCACTCTCGAGAACTTGTGGTTTCACAACATTCTCCCCACCAAAGGGCTTCTCACCGCCGTACAACAACTCACAAGTCAAACGATTTGGGGCTTACTACGCGTCATCTTCTGCTGCGGTGGTGGCCATGGTAGAATATCACTAATGCCCACCACTTTAGACAACTCGACATCGCGAAGCTCGCCGCTGTGGGCTGTCGCACACGACACTGTCACCGATCCACTTCGACATGGGGCAGACGCTGGACCAGACAACACACCACCGATAATGTCATAAAGCTCGACGATGTGGGCTGTCACACACGACATGGTCACCGGTACACTGCTTCGACCCGGGGTGGGCGCGGAATCTGAGGACACACATCGGATCTCTGTGTTCCACACAGTCTCGCCGCTTACTTCTTCCGTGCTAACCAGTAGTATCGCCCTTCTCATTTTCTCGGCTACTACGCCTTGCGTTTCTAAGTCTTGCGCCTCTAACTCTTGCGCCTCCAACTCTTGCGCCTCCAACTCTTGCGCCTCCAACTCTTGCGCCTCCAACTCTTGCGCCTCCAACTCTTGCGCCTCCAACTCTTGCGCCTCCAACTCTTGCGCCTCCAACTCTTGCGCCTCCAACTCTTGCGCCTCCAACTCTTGCGCCTCCAACTCTTGCGCCTCCAACTCTTGCGCCTCCAACTCTTTCGGCCGAGACTCCAGCTGCTTCTGAGCGTCTCCGACCGATGTCGCCATGCACTGTACCGACCCAGTGGGCCTCGGATCTGATCCTCCCACTGGCTTCGAATACTCTTCTGACCGCTGCTTGTCTGTAAGCAAAGTCTTACACGCCTTGTCCGGCGTCCTTCTGGGCGAGGCAAGCAAATCTCGCTTTGCTTCCTCATAATATGTACTGACGGCGATGCGCTCGGCCATCTTCTTGAGCTTTTCGTTAAACTCTGCGCGGAGCGCACACTCTTGCCGTCTAGCACTGCGCTCTTCAAACTCCTCGCTCTGTCGGAGCCTCTTCTCCACGTATTCTCTCAACCTATCGCCTTCAAATCCATACCGAATTCCGTTGGCGATAAAGCTGGCTTCGATGATCCATAGTTCCTGTGCCATGCTCGCTTCGTATCCTGGCGTGGTCGCCAAATGTTGTGAACCCTCTGGTTCTCTAAAGTGTCAGGAACGAACGACCCCACACGGCACGAGGACAACTATTTATTCTCAACAATATCTTTCACTTCCATCGACTAATAACAATGAACAATGAATGGAACAACTGAATGAACTGAACTAACTGAATGAACTGAATACTAGCACTAAAACCACCAGGTAGTTATAGCGTGAAAATGACAGCGTATATGAGAAAAGCATACACATACAACATACAACTACAGCGCACTCAGCAAACCGCACATAGCGCATGTAGCGTATACTACGTCGTAAACATCAACTGTACGGCGGAGTCGGAATACAACTGTATTGGAACGAACACAATGTCACAAGCGAGAAGGCCTTTCACTCTCGAGAACTTGTGGTTTCACAACACTTGGGTATGTGTTAAATAATCTTAACCCTTGCTGTTCCGAAGCACGTGCTAGCTGGCATTACACGCGATAGTCACATTGGGCACTAGGAATATCGCCATTTCACTAATCAATATTGATATCAACTAATTAAGGAATTTCCAGTTTTTGCTCTTGGGCAGTAAATACGATAGATTCGACCAGGCAATCCGGCAGTAGTTAACATGTGGCAAGATGTAATGCATTGTAGGAAGAAGTGCGAAAGCTGACAGGAAGGTGGGCGCGATGGGAGTATAATTATTACAGTATTTTGCTCCTGCTCTTTAAGCCGTTGAGCGCTCTTGTCTTTGCTGTTTGCGTTATGCAGAGCTCCCTGACTTGTCAGTTTGAGCACTCTGGCAAGGTTCTGCATGTTCCTTCATGAACGTACTTCACATCTAAGAGTTTCAGGTTTCAGTCTTGTTTGCGCGCATCTTCCCCTCCTACTCCTATAACTTAGAACCTTTCAAATTGGAAGGTGGTTGGAGTGCGATTCCAATAGAAGCTCGAATACGTGCTAGAGTTTACTGGCAATTGGTTGTTGACCGTCAGTACTGTTCAACAGTGTCGTTCAATTGCATTGCATGAGTTGATAGTCAAGCAACTAATGTTGTTGTTAATGGACATTATAGCGTAACTTGCATTTCCTGGATCATTTTCTTTCCTATCTATATATTTTATATACCTGTTAAAGATTGCTGAAGTCTCGGTTCGAAAATCTTTTTGAATTCTGATTTTCTGGAAGCAGTCAAATAGTCCGTACATATACAACTATTCTTGCATTAGAAATGTAATATTCGACAAACTAAAAATCATGTACTTGTACATGTCTTGTTCACTGGTATTCCATGCCGTCTTCACTATGCTCTTTCCCCTGTAGTGCCCTCCGCCATAGCTGTCAACTCTACAGACACGCACATCTACGCACGCATAGTACAGCCTAAGATACTTCGAGATTGGGTTTCTGATTTCTGCTTTCTGTACGAGAAAAATGGAACTGCGGCTACACCGACGGTAGTGTGTGACAAAAATGAATCAACCGTTCTGTCAGGCCTGGCGACAAATACTTTGTACCGGATCAGAGCATTCTTCAAAACTACGATCGGACACAATAGCAGCATGTCCTCCGAAATCAAAATTGGAACATCGCCAAAAGGTAAGGGATGTGGTTACATCATAAACCGACACCAACAGGGTCAGAAGTTAAGAGTTTTGCGTGACTCTTTAGGGATTTGGTGAAATGAACATTCTTGTTGTGAACCCTCTGGTTCTCTAAAGTGTCAGGAACGAAAGACTCCACACGGCACGAGGACAACTATTTTCTCTCAACAGTATATTTCACTTCCATCGACTAATAACAGTGAACAAAGAATGAAACAATGAATAACTGAATGTATAACTAACACTAAAACCACCAAGTAGTTATAGCGTCGAAATGACAGCGTATATGAGAAAAGCATACACATACAACATACAACTACAGCGCACACAGCAAACCGCACATAGCGCATGTAGCGTATACCACGTCGTAAACATCAGCGGTACGGCAGAGTCGGGATACAACTGCATTGAAACGAACACAATGTCACAAGCGAGAAGGCCTTTCACTCTCGAGAACTTGTGGTTTCACAACAATTCTTCTTATTGTTCCGGGCAAATTCGTTTTGCCAGGATCGACTTCCTCAAATGACATTCCATATCACGCTTCACATAATATGCATTGCTGATTCGATCTAGGGTATAGCCACAAATGTGCCCAAATTAATTCGTTGACAGGGAGAGGTGTAAGGGAAAACATGAAAATACGATTATAGAAATAATCTACGTGGAGATAAAAGTTTAATAATAGCTATGAAAAGTATGAATGCCGCAGACATCACAACGACATGACATTTAATTTTGTTCAAGGTTTGGTTTTGTGTGTTTCCAAAATCGATTTTCACGCTCCGATCATCAGTGGAAATACGGAACTAAAGAGATCAAGGGGAAAACAAAAAGTTGAGAGGTTTCTGCACTGTTCATGCCCGTTTGTCACACTTACTCTTTATTTTAGTTCTCACTTTTTGTAATACTTACCACAAGTTACCCGTCAGGTGTCACACTTCTTTGGATTTTTAACCTTTGTTTTTTCCCTTGATCTCTTTAGGCCCGTATTTCCACTGATGATCGGAGCGTGAAAATCGATTTTGGGGAACAAACAAAATCAAACCTTCAACAAATTATCATGTTGCATGGTGATGTCTGCGGCATTCATACTTTTCATAGCTATTATACGATCATAGTTTCTTTTTTTAACTTGGATGTGGAGCTAATTAAATTTTTGTGAAAAGAAGGACCCAATGTTACGAGTTGGGGGACAGTTAGTCATAACTCGTAACATTTTGTCCTTCTTCTTTTCACAATAGTTTCTTATCAGTGTTATTTTCACGTGCATAATCCTTAGTCACTGCCTTGCATGCAGTCTTTTCCTTTGTCACACCGGGTGTATACTTGGAAACTATTCCATTATCACGTAGCTCAACATCATTATCACCTTACTTGAATCCATACGGTACTAGAGAAACTGTGAGTGGACCTAATTGATCCACAGACTTGAACGCGGCAGTGTTAAAATAATAATAATAAGAATAATTTGTGTCTTTCCCTCAAACTAACGAAGAATAAGAAGAATATGAATGATAATAATCCTTTGGTTAATTTTCTTCTAAACAAAACCATTTCCTTAGTCATTACACGTGATGTGGATGTGTTTTATATCAGCACCAAATCCGCCTCTCAACCCCGTCATCTCAAGTACTACTATCACGGTGTTTCTAGGGCAAATAGAAGAAGGCAACCTTCCCATACGCCAGTATTGTGTGCACGGAATACCTGCTAATGATCTGTCCGGGAATATGCCATTGGTACCAGTATGCAGCGCCTCGAAAAATGTCACTTTACGTGGCTTAAAACCCAACATGAGCTATAATGTCACCGCCTATGTTAGCAATGCCTATGGAGACAGTGACCAGTCCAGCCCCACACGCATTACCACGTTGCCCACAGGTGAGGATGAATTTTGTTTTAAGCATTGTACGTAGCTTTGGATGTGGCTAGCACTTAGAAGGTCATCACACGAAGCACGGAAGCGATATGGTTTCGAATAAGCCTTTCGAACCCTTACTTTCCAAGTCTAGTACAATAGTGAATAACACAGCAACCCGGTTTGAACAAAGTTGCAAGCAAATCCTTATAACCGGCACTTTGGAGGTCAGAGCATTTAAAAAATATCACTTATGAAATTTTGGAAAGCTACCTACACTAACTTTGAAAGTGTTGCCAGACATGATAACCTCTGTGTCAAGGTTATGCGTAAAATAGAATATGGATGACTTAGCAAAACAGATTATGAGTATTGGCAAGTGTTTAGCTACATGTTGTCAGCAATCAACTCTTTCTTTCTTCACAAGGTATGTGTGGCCTTAGCAAGGGCAGTGCAAACGCACAAAAAATGAAAACAACAGACACAATCTTTTTTTCGTTACACAGAAAACGAATATCGTTTTTCGTCTCTACATTGGTCACTATATATACATCTGAACTTGTCAACATTGTTATCTGCCAATTTCATAGTGCCATCTTCAACAACACCCCCAACCTCGGGCAATGAAGCAAGCACCAGCGGGCAATGCGGGCAATGAAGATGTTGACGTTTCAATGTGTCTCAATTCGTCTTCATTTTGCTTCCCCTTTATATGTTTATTACATGTACATAAACTTGAGCCTCCCAAGTTGGGTGCTTTGTTGCTTTGCGTCGTCGAGGTGTAGTAATGCGGGAATGTCCAACAGTCATACTAGTTTCATCGTCATCTCGTGAGTTTCGGCATTTTTTGTTGCCGTGGCGCGTAGTTCATGCTCTTTTTTGTTGCGCTTTCCTTCCCCTCTTGGAACTTTCCGAACCTCAGCCTTCCAAGTTGAAAGGTTGTTGGTTTGCGCGTTGGAGAAGTGTTGGAGCTAGGTGTCAGGTCGCCGAATGTCTCAGTACTCCTTGACAGGTTTGTGCCATTTTGTCGCACTCGCTGACCTTATAAAAATATGGCTACGTTGGTGGATAGTTTGTCATAACTCGTAACATTTTGTCCTTTTCCTTTCTTCATAGTTTTAGGAAAATTAGAGGCCATATGCCACGTACTGCTCTTTTCTCTCCGAAACTCAACACTTGCAAGCTAATTTCCTAAAAACTTTGAAATTCTCCTTGAAATCCAAATTTGAAATTTCCTTTCTTCATCATATTTTATTTTTGGCTCACTATCCGAGTTCAATTCTGAAAGTTGCTTGGACTGAGTTTCACTTGTTTTATTAGTCTTTTATTGTTACTGCGCAGTACTGTATGTTAGGCACCGGCGGATTATGCCGGCATAATTATTGGCATAATTTGGTGGTTGAAAATTTGGAAAATCTTTTCCGCGGCGGAGGTAGGAGCATAACTACATGACTGTATCACAGTTCTAGTACATGTATGTAGGCTACACTATTGTGTACAATGCACCTGATCCGAGCTGGTGGTATGCATGGTAAAGGGTTCGGAGGTCATGCCGATTGTGTTTTCAATGAAAAGCAGGGTAGAAATCATGGAAATACATTTTGTGTGCTCGAACTCGTCTTCTCAAAGTTCTTTCTCAACCGGATACAGCACATGTAGCAGAAGATGCGAATGAATCAGCCCTTATCAGGTATCCCGGGGCGGACGAGATAGTGATGGGTGGTCCGCCAAACTCCGCGTACATGTACACTATGCTTTCTACCAAGTCATGACGTCTGGATCACTGTCCGAATCAGAACCTTCTCCGCCATCCACCGCGGTTTGACTCTCCTCCTCACTTGCATCGTCCTGTGTCTCACCTTCACCACCCACGCCAACCCTGAATGCCGTTGCCTTCACGTCAGTCGTCGTCCTTTCCGATTGTTTCCTTTGTATTTTTACCGTGAATTCATAGGTCCGGTTGTAATCTGCTGTAGATCTCCGTGGTCTGTCATTTGCTGCTTTGTTTTGTGGATTAGTTGTTGTTGTTGTTGGATGTGAACCTGGTGTTGTTGTTGGATGTGAAGCTGGTGTTGTTGTTGCCTTCGATTCATATTGTTTGTCTCAATACAAGGTCAACTTAGTTCGTAACCTCGTGGACCGTGCGAAACGTATTTGTTCGCCCAGTAAGCTGCAGGCCGAGCTCGATTTCCTTCGATCTGTTTTCTTGAAGAATGGCCATCCGGAATTCTTGTTTCGTAAGTTTCTGTCCATGGAGCAGAAACTGAAATCGGTGCTGATTGGTCCACCTCGCTGTCCCGTCTATCTATGTTTGCCATGGAAGGGGCAGGAATCGATCAAAGTGTGTCACGAAGTCAAGTCTATCGTCCGTCGTACTTATTATGCAGTACATTTTGTGCCAGTCTTCACAACAATGCGTGTGTTCACGGTGCGGAAGGACGTCCTACCAACCCTCCACCTCAGTCATGTTATCTACAACTTCGAATGCCGACATTGTGCTAGTCGGTATGTTGGTAGGACTGTTCAGCACCTGAACGCACGTATCAAACAACACACTCCACTTCACATCCTTCCACCCAGTGCGCAATCTGAGAGGCCCAAACGCGGGAGGCCTAGGAAAAAACCCAACACCTAGACGGCAGGATAGTTCCCTGCCGCCGTCTGCCGCTCCCCCTCTGACATCTGTGTTGGACGGGCTGGAGCTTGGCAGCTCTTTGGAGGTGCGTGCGGAACCGCCATTGGTGCAGCCCTCGGGTGTGCCTAAGTCTGTAACTCTGGGTGCTTTGCATGGGGCTGTGCCTCGAGTCGTGACAGCACCTCTGCCTCCCCCTGACCCTCCTCCTTCGAGGTCAGTGTTGGTGGGGAGCTCCCGCGGCGGTCGATTTGTCCCACCGGAACCAGAGCTGGATTCAACAGAAAGACCAACAACCATGGCTGCAACAACACCAGCTTCACATCCAACAACAACACCAGGTTCACATCCAACAACAACAACTAATCCACAAAACAAAGCAGAAAATGACAGACCACGGAGATCTACAGCAGATTACAACCGGACCTATGAATTCACGGTAAAATACAAAGGAAACAATCGGAAAGGACGACGACTGACGTGAAGGCAACGGCATTCAGGGTTGGCGTGGGTGGTGAAGATGAGACGCAGGACGGTGCAAGTGAGGAGGAGAGTCAAACCGCGGTGGATGGCGGAGAAGGTTCTGATTCGGACAGTGAGGGAGAAGGTGAGCTGAGTGAGGGTGAGAGTGAGTGTGAGGGTGTGCGCGTGAGTCGAGATTGTGTGCGTCCGTCTCGTAATAACAAGTCTTCAGTATACAACCATTTGGTTTCTAGTACTGACTGTTGTCGTACTTATTCTGATTCCTGTTTTTCTGTTTTGTGCCGTGCTCGTCATGGTTATCTTTTGCAGTTACAAGTTTTGGAAGCTGTTTGTCAGCGCATTCATAAGCCGAATTTGTGTGTCCAGAAAGATAGTGTTATTACCCTAAAATTGTTCAAATAATGTTCTGTTGTGTAGTGTGGCAACGTTGTTGCCACTTGTGCCTAAATGTGTTTTGTCACCTTCTTGTTTATTATTTGTTATTATTATTTGTTCTCACTTGTTTGTTTTTGTTGCTGACACACACTTGTCACGCTTGGTTCTTACTTGTAAACCCTTGTTTTCTGCACACTTTTGTGAAAAATCGCACCTCGATATTCCAGTGCTGTCATTGTATCGTGTCACCCTACCTTGATTGCTATATTATTATTTCCTTTGTTCTCATTTTGTTCTTTAGTACAATGGTGATTCCTGAAGAGTGTTGTACGAAAACTGGTTCGAATCATCTTTTTCCATTGCCCTTTTTCTTCTTACATGTATTTTTTCCTTACCCTTTATGTTGTTTCTTGCATCGTCTCCATCGCTTACATTGTTAATAAAGTAGTCCACATGTCGCTTCAGCTCGTCCTACTTATTGCCATATTAAAATTATCATTATTATTATTATATCATTGGCTACAAGCGAGGGTCCCTGGTTCGAGTCCTGGTGGTGACAGTCAATTTTTTCTTCAGACTTTTCCCGTTTGTCTCTTTCCCTCAAAACCAGTTAATATTTTATGACTTGGGGCTCCCCGCGTGCTAGTTTGTACGTGAAGTGTGTGGGTACAGTGAGGGCTGCGTCCCACCCGCCTGTGTGGATTCACAGGAAGTGTGAGTTACGAAGTCTGAAGAAAACGTTGAACGGTCTCTGCTTGGATGACGACTACACCACAGCTCAGTGGTTAGAGCATCGTTGGCTATAAGCGAGGGTCCCTGGTTCGAGTCCTGGTGGTGACAGTCAATTTTTTCTTCAGACTTTTCCCGTTTGTCTCTTTCCCTCAAAACCAATAATTATTATTATTATGATGAAATGACCCAAAGGCAATGTGCCTATCGAGGGGTTCATTTGATTGAAAGAACAGTAGATGTAGATGTATGTACAAAGACAAGTAGGGATTGATGAGGAGAGAAATGGGGAAAATCAACTGCAAGGTGGCGGAATTCCGTTGATTGCATAAGCATAGTCAGCTGTAAATTTCCTGCAATGAAAACCGCGACCGGATCTCGCTTCAGATAGCGGGAATTTTAAGGATTTGACACCACGCAAACACATGATGCTGGACCTTACCAGCGCAAAGCACACCCGAGTGCGAATCCACCCCATAGTGGCAAAATCCTGATCATTTCTCTTGTCAGAGATAAGAGCAGCCAAGCGCTTGTACAAAACTGTGGCAGCTTTCCCAGCATCAGGAATGGCCGAAATGACGACTGGAATGAAGGAGGCCTTCTCGACTTCCCGAGTTCTCTCCTCATATCATCTCCTCCTCTCGGGTTCATAGCCAGCATGCACAGCGGGGGTTTAGGGAGCATTATTCGAAGCAGTATAGAGGTTGAAAAGCCGTATATCAAACATTGTGCGTTCTAACCGGCCACCCCAGAATCCACTGGTAGCGAAATCGAGGCAAGCATTGTCCGCTAAGGACGCAGACTGGAGGTTGTACTGCTCACCAGAGAGCGGTTGCAGTGGAGGTTCCACGGATACCGAGTAAGCCACCTAGCGAATAAGGTCAGCGGTGACGTCACGGATTTTATTGTGCCATGCGACGGAAAACCACCAGTCGGGCCGAAAAATGCGTGGGAGACATCGAAGCCGCCGTTTCCACAAATGCAGGACGACGGCAAACGCTCCGGCACCAAGCCATAGCGCGAAAACAGAGCATCTCCAAACTCAGACTTAGAGAGACGAAAGCCATAGCATGGTAGAGGACGTGACGTCAGCCAAGTATAGCTACCACAATGGGAAGAAAGCTCAAACTGTGGCACATGTACTGCACCTATACCGCTCAAAACCCCTCCTTCAGATGTTGCTGTGATGCCCGAGCTGCAGTGCGGACTTGACGTTTGGTGGTCTTGGTAGCGTCTGCCACACAACCTGGCGAGAGATCAGCCTCACCAATCCTTACTCTGAGCTCTTTAGTGGGCATATTGGCGTGATTGGGCGGTGGGAATCGAGAGACTCAAACGGCCATGCCGACAAGGGACCGAGAGCATAAGTCGCTCCACACTGGACGGAGGGATTCGACTAATAAGTCCTTGGATGAGGCGCTCCATAATAACAGCTTCCAGACCACCAAACTCCTCAGGTGACATCTCCAAGGTCCGGGACAAGAAATATCACTTGTTTTGTAGACCATGAACAAATGTGGAGTAGGCGGCAAAGGGTTGTGTCAGGACAAAATCGGTTAGCCGCGACACCTGAAGTGTCAAGTAGATGACCTTTGCCTCTACGAAACTAGCTGCTCGGTCAGTCCATCCCACCAGGTGCGGAGGGCTCGAAGTTCTCCACACCCTGAAGGATCATCTGCGTACCACACCTGGATGACGTCAGATGAGCTGACTGCCTGGACCAAGCGTACGATGCAAAGGGCGCACATCAGCATCGCAACCGGATCAATCTGCATGGGTAGTGCTTCATAGTATAACAAGCATTCACCATCCACAAAGAGGTTTGCCGGATGGCGGCATGTGTCGATGTTCGACTCAAATCGCAATATATTTTTATGGTAGGTGTAAGTCAATTCTCCAAGCATATGGACTAATTAACAAGTGTGCAAACGTTTCGTATCGAGACACGAATGGCAAAAATGCATGCAGTTACACATGTAGCTGTAAGTCGGTGTTTTATATTCCTCAGGTAGAGGTGTGCGCGAATGAGTGCCGCGCAACCAGTTGGTAGACATTTTCTAGTATAACGGAATATGTTAGATGAGTTCATCGGTGGCGTCGACAATTTTTTTTTTGTGCCTTATACGACTTCCATCATCAAGACCCTCAACAGGAAGAAGAGTGCTAGTAAAACCGTTCAGCGCTGATGTGCCTGGGTGGTGCACGCAAGTCATTGTTACCAACAATGGCCTCAGACTCGGCAGCGCTTGTTGTTGCTGAAGCAAGAACCTCAGCTTGAGGCTTACATTATTATTACTATCTGTCAATTGTCCTTAATGACATTGTACATGATCATCACCGCCTGCGCTCGATCTAATCATTGATTGTCTTTATTTTATGTTTTGCCCGTACAAGAGGCATTAGCACTGCAAAAAAGTATAAAACTAAGTATTTTATAGAAAAGGAAAAGGAACATCAGTGAGAAGGCATTCTACTGCCTGTAATGCTGGTAAAGTAAAATAAAGTAACAACAACAACAACAAGGAACTACAAGATACGGTTTTGTGTCCACTAACACCACCTGTTAATAAGCAATCAGATCATGCCATATCATTGCACGAGGCTGGCCAATGTTACTGACGTTCTAGTACGAACTGGCTAACAGCATTAGCACATCTTGGAGGCGCACACCAACACATGCGTCACAATCTCATGTAATATGTATCTTATAAGATCAGAACAACACTAAAACTGAATGGAGACTACTTCTGGCAAAGGCAGGCAGAATCTTCTGATGCCTTACGACCAGACCCACGATCCTATAACAATGCAATTCGGAATCTGCGACAAATTAATATGGTGATGAATACACTCCAGGCATTATGGCTGTCATTACGCGCCTGCCCACACACGCTCTCTACGCTGCAAAGTTACTCTGGCACAGCTCACCTTCTCCACCAATATCACTTAACGCCTGGCGCCTATTCGATGAATGGTTAATGGTACTCAATATAGTAGACAGCAGATCACACAGCAACGACATACTAGTAGCTCGATTGTAAGGCACGTTTCGTCCCCGCTGGACTCATGAGGCAATCTTCGTCTTGAAAGTCTTCGCATGAAGCCTGATGTGGGAGAATGATACCCCACTGCAGCTGTACTTATGTTGATTGTTATCATGGCGATGGGCCTATGGGCCTGTGAAAGAACGAGAGAGTCTTGCACTACATCGGTATGACCGACCTGAACATGGCGCAGCTGACCCAGCAGCTGCCTGGTGTAAAGGTGAATCACATAGCGCAATGAGGTCAGTAAGAACCCGCTACGCAGGCCCACAGTGTGACAGCTTAGCAATGCGGCTGGTCCACCATGGGCCAGTTATTCAGGCCTCTTTTATGGGCAAATTAACACAATGGATTAAAATGCAATATATCATACGCTGGAGAAGAAATCAGAAAATGCGTGTGTAAAATAAAGATTTTCAAACCCAACCCCAAAAAACCTGGGCCAGCTGTCCCTTGCCATCGGGCAATCAACCACGACTATTATGAACCCACAAGTTCTCAAGTGTGAAGGGCCTTCTCGCTTGTGACATTGTGTTCGTTTCAATGCAGTTGTATCTCGACCCCACCGTTCCGATGATGTTTACGACGTGGTATACGCTACATGCGCTAGGTGCGATTTGCTGTGTGCGCTGTATGTGTGTGTTGTATGCGTATGCTTTTCTGATATATGCTGTCATTTTTACTCTATAACTACCTGGTGATTTTAGTGTTAGTTATTAGTTGATAGTGAAGATTTATAAGTTGATCGAAGTGAAAAATACTGTTGAAGAGTAGATAGTTGTCCTGGTGCCGGTTGGTCGTTCGTTCCTGACAATTTAGAGAATTAGAAGGGTTCACAACATTTGACGACTACGCCAGGTCCAAAACGAGCATGGCAGAGGAACAAACTAATTTGGAAGTCAGCTTTATCGCCAAAGGAAATCGGTACGGATTTGAAGGCGATAGGTTGATGGAACACGTGGAGAAGCGGCTCCGACAGTACTAGGAGCGTGAAGAGCGCAGTGACAGATGGCAGACTCTCTATTCTAAGTCCGTTGGGCAGTGCTGACGAAATTGGACAATAGGAGAAAAAGTTAGAACCCCGGTATAGGGCGGACACAGGGAGAAGCGTGTGGTAACTTCTAGAAAATAAACGTGCGGATGTCTTTGCGCTAACGGTTGCAATTTGTTCTTTCTTTTCTTTTATCATTTCATTCTATTTCCTTTTCAGGAAAGAATCTATAATATTATGTTTTCGCGCTAAAAGTCACCCTGGGCCACATATTTTTGTCCAGTACAAATGGGGGAGCACTATTCAAGAGAGAGAGAGAGAGAGAGCTGTTCGAAAGAGGGTATTAAGGGAATCTTCAAAGGGCAGAAGCCTAAGAAAACACCGAGCCGAATGCTTACTGTAAACTACTACGATTCACCGATACGACAACGAGAGCTGAGATTTTGATCCTGAAACTACGGGGGGAGGGGTTGAGGGGAGGGAGGGGATTATACAAATCAAGAGAGAGAGGGAGCTTGGTGTTTTCACTGTCTCTTAGAGATTGGGGCATAACTTGAGAAAGAGTGAACTATCCAAGAGATGGCTCTATTTGCGCGAGTACAGTATATGGAGATGTCTGTTGTATTCACCACTATAAACAACACGCGATCAAAATCCCATTTCAGGGAGGTAAAAGAGTGTAAGGCAGTAGTTCTTAAAGTGAGAACGTTGAGCGCGCAAAAGTTCTTCTTCTGAATGCATAACCTGGGTTACGCAAATTAGGGACTCCACCATTGAGTGTACAAGCACAAGTAGCATACACAAAAACACAATACCTGTATACATCACAGTACCTTGGGTTTCTCACAAATTAATTAAATACTTCCCGGGATCCACAATAATATCGGGATCTGTACAATGTTCGCAATCAACAGAACCCTCCCTCTCCACCCCTGCGCTCACCACCATCATCATCCGAACTTGTTCCATCCTTCATTTCGCTCCTTTTTTCTGTTTACACTGCTCCCATATACATTATACTTGTGTTTGCTACTGCATAATTTGTAATTCTGTGTAGTGAAATGGAATGCCTGTCCTCTAACCAGTGCTGGCACGTGGCAAGTCGATTGGACCTTTCGACTTGGACGTCAAACTTGGACAGAAGCAAAAGCAGAATGTCAATCATATGGCGGATCACTAGCGACTGTGCACACAATGGCTCAGGTGACGTGTGCAAACCGGACAGTGGAGGGAACTATCGCTGTGTGGGTAGGCTTGACTGGTACATGGACAGCTGGAAATTGGAGTGCTTGGAAATGGGAAGTGGCATCGTCCACCCGTACGACGAGACTTCCCTGGTCATCCCAGTATACACTTCCGTTTAAAAACAAAAATAATACTTACGGGTATTTGGATCCAAACATGGGCTTATTGAACTGGATAAACAACTTTCAAGCTAGGTGCCTCTGTCAACGATATGTGCCTAAAGGTAGGTCTATATCCATTCATGAAACTGAAAGAATATCTCTACTGATCTAGATCGGTACGGGCCACACCTCTGATTAAATTAGACATTCCATTTACTCTTTAAACCACAATTCCCAAAAACGAAGACCGCGGATATACATGAATAGATTTGAAAGAGAAATAGGGCACGGGATAGTGTTCTTCGGTGTTAGCGAATGGTAGGTTCCCGAATGTAACGAGGTGGCAATTTAATACACCATTTCACTCGCACCTGAAAGCAAAGCTTCACTGTACTTGCGTCTAAACTAATGATGCTTGTAAGATCAGAGCGCTCTTATATGTTCATGAATGCAAACCCTTAGAAGACAAGACTGCTCGACACTTAACTCATGCTTATATTCATGTACAAACAAGGCCAATCTAGGCTGCTCCAGGTGGAGAACTCAACGCACGACAGAGGCGAAAGGCTGTGCAGATGTAACTTTACATTTCACTCATTTCAGCAATCATAAGAGCATTTACAATCGAATACTCGACGAGCAGGTCTAGCTTTTTGTGTTATGTGCGAAGTGTAGATGTGTCTATGGGAAAGTGCTGCTGAATTATTTATGACAGTTAACGAATAAAGATGAGAATAGAGGCGATAACAGGGCAGTGGCAATGAGTAATCGAGGGCGATTGCGACAGTAACGCAATGACATACTGTATCAGGGGTGAAGAAGGAGAGAGAAAGCACCGTGACGCCAAACCTGGCACAGGTGGCGCCATGTTGAAAAGCCAAACATGTAACTGATGGTGAATATTTTAGGCAAGTAAAACTTGTTTTCGTGTCTACAATTCGAGACCAGCTCCGATCTTGTGTTGATATTGACCATTTTGTCTGCATCAAGGGTCGCCGAATTGTAAGCCGGGTATAGAGCACGATGGTTTTCTAGTGTGCTCCAGACGCAGTCGTGAGTCGGTCAAGTGTCTAGTCTGTCGGCAGGAAGCAGGAGCTCCTACGTTCAGAGCAGACAATTTCTTCACTGTTGCATCATCTTTCGTGCCATAATATCCATGTTCAAAGGAAGAGACAAACACAGGACAAGAGCGTCCCTGACAAACGATGTAGCTTCCGAAAATAGTACCTGCTCACTGAACGGGGACCTCCAAGTACGATGCATCGCGTACAAGGCAACAGTACAGTACACAGGAAGAGAGCAGCGACAGGGGAACTCGGATTTGCGGAAACACCCTTTAAACAGGGATACAACAACCATGCGACCGAGACAAGGTATGAGAGAATGAAAGAAAGCACGAAACTATCCAGGAGCATATGAAAGCTCGAGCAAAAGAACACTCCACGGTCTGTCAAATGGGCCGTCGTCCCCCATCATCACGGTCCGGGGATACTTGAACGCTGTCCACTATGCTGAGAAGTTGGCCACACTAGAAGCAGACACGGTGAACATCAACAAAAAGTCGTAGTTGGTATCGAAAATCAGACAGGAGCACAAGTGTTACCTGTCCAAATTCTGTGAATCAGTTACACGAGTTGTGTGTCAACATGGTGCCACCTGTACCCGGTTTGGCGCTGTTGTGCTTTCCTTCTCTCTCTCTCTCTCTCTCTCTCTCTCGCTCTCACTCTCTCTCTCACTCTCTCTCTATCGCTCTCTCTCTCTCTTCACCCCTTCTATGTTCTTCCACTACTGTCGTTCTTGCCCTCCATGACACGGTAGCACTGCCGTGCTGTCGTCTTTATTCTAATTTACATCCGTTGCCTCTCACCAACACTGTCCCATTGCCACATGTACACTTCACACACACACACACACACACACACACACACACACACACACACACACACACACACACACACACACACACACACACACAGTGTCTGCTCCAGGATTGTAGGACAGCCGGGTACACGTGTACCTGGCGCAACCATTTCAACCGGGTCGGAGCCGGGTACACATGTACGCCCAATGGTATAAAGGCTAATGGATAAGCCGCATTTGGAAAAGAGAGGACAGGAATTAGAAAATTACGAAATAAGAAGAAGTATCTGACACACACATGTACAAGCCATGTAGTCAGTCCTTTCAAAGTAACTTAGTTCGAAAGTGTACAGTACCAACCGGGTCACAGGTGACCCGGTAGTATATTTTCAACCAGGTCCAAGCGCCGCCCAACCGGGTGGATTACCCGGCTCACCCGGCGCTGGAGCAGACACTGACACACACGCACACACACACACACACACACACACACACACACACACACACACACACACACACACACACACACACAAACACACACACACACACACACACACACTAACTTTCAAACTAGCCCCAAGTATCCACGCCTGCTCGAATAGCATCCCATACTAAATGCCGCTGTCTGATGATTGTTGAAATGCGTGAAACGAAAAGTTACAGATACACGGCCTTTCACCTCTGTTGTGTATAAATGTATGTATAAATTTTCCAAAAGGTTCTGTCAGGAAAATGGTTATGAAATGATTACACGATTATGTGGACGCGTCAGACCCAGAATGATTCGTTGTGGTGACTGCGACCGTCATTAGAGAGGTTTCGCGAGGCTGTTCGCGTGCGTGACGGGCTTGAGATAAACCAGGTAAGCCTGCACACCGACACCCACCAAACCGGCTCACCGAGTTCAGGGTTTTCCGTGCATCGAGATGATCCCGTGTTATAAAAAATACAGGAAGTTGTACAAAACTACTTCCTGATTTTTCTTGGTCTGTGCTGAAGACCGACTACTAAGCTCACGAAGCACGTCCATTTCTTGGTCTGGGCATTTCTGCCTTAGACTCTTTGCTCATACATTTAATGTTACCCTTTGCATCTTTCTGCGTAGAACCTGTCTCACATTATGCCGTGTTGATACAAAGATGGTATGCTTTGAAAGAAGAATCGTTTAGACAAGAATGTTATTGATTTTTGCTGCTCTTGACGACGATAATTACTATGGTGGTGAAGACACATCTGGTGATATGGCTTTAAATATACGTCTGCCCACATATCCTCGCCAGGCTGGAAAGCTCTGGCACAGAGCTCTCCTTCTAACCCTAACCAACATCATATCGCGCTTGGTGCCTAGTCTATGCATGGTTTGAGGCATCAGACATCCCATGCTGGTACGTCAGGTTGCGCATGGCATAATAGATGACACCGCAACAGCGTAATTCGATTTGGGCTACGTTTCATCCCCACTGTACTCGCAAGGCAATCGTCTTCTTGGATGTCTTCAAATGGAGCTTGACTCCTGAGAAGGAATTTGAAGACAACACTGCAGTTGTACTTATGGTTGATTTAATATGGTGGTAAACACATACCTAGTCATATGGCAGTAAATACATGCCAGTCAACACCCGCTGTAGCACATAGCTCTCCTTCTTACGAAAACCCGTTTGATGTGTTGTTTCCCGGCGTTGTCGAGAAGGAGGAATATGTCAGTGTTCCGGCCAAGAACGCATACTCCTTTCAGATTGGACCACCATACCTTGTCACGAACGTAGCCGTAGGTAAGTCGGGCCCTAAAGTGCCGTTACATCTCCAGCCTGGATTGTTGATGTGTGGAGATAACGAGGGTAAGAGAGTCGGTGAAGGATTGCTTCTTGACGCCATTGCCAAAATAGTGTCGCCATTTGCTCCATTCTCTGTCCTTAATACGCATCATTTACGTGCGATCAGGAGAACACACACCACTTGGGATTAGAATAGCGGATTTCAAGAGATTGATGGATAATGAACTGTTCCATGCCTGCAGCGATGGTAATAGTAACTTTTAGGCAAGCCAACTCTGCATCGTAGGTGATACTGAAGGCCCAATGGACGGCATTGAGGTGTGCTCCGAGTCACCTTCAGCCAGCACGCTCTTAACGCCACACAGTTAGCGTGGTGGTCTGTCCCCGGCTTGTTGAAATGGTCAGGAAGTTAACTTATTGAGTTCCATGATTTTAGCCACCCAATTGTTCAAGTATATTCGTGCTGTTGGATTTTGGAAAGTGGACACAATGAGGTTTAGTGGGGTGGCACCTCAAGCGAGCTCTCGAACATGTTTCGTTAGCTCGTGTGTGACACAAAGATCCACAAGGCTATCCCCGAGAGGGTTTGATTTTTCGCTAATCTTTACAATGCACGTTGAAATCCGCCGCTGGAACTACGTTTGGGGACAGTTCTTTGGCCTAAGGTAGTGTTTCGCCACGTGAATTGATGAGACAGAGGTTTGTGGGGCTACAGGAGTAGGAGCGGTACACAGAACCAATCACCAAACTTGCAACACATAGCCCAAAATGTTGTATGTTCCGCGGACCGAAGTAAGTCTAGATTATCAGAAGCAAATGTGGACTTGATTAACACATCAATACCACCTCCGTGCTCGTTTCGGTTCCTGCCATATGAGAATCCTTGTTCAAGAATGCACGAGTCAAGGCTAGTTATTGCATTAGCAGAGAATACAGCTTCAATGACATTTTCTACATCTAAGTCGTGCCGGATGAGTGCATGCCTCAGGACGTCCACTTGGAGGTGTCAACCGGAGCTGCCAAACAACCAAGCCCAATGGAGGAGACCAGCGTTGAAGGTTGCAAAGTGAGCAGGTCGGATGTCGTCCATAAATCATCATTGCACGAGAGGCAGAAGAAGCTGCAGTACAGCGAAAGGATTGTCAATGTTGACCATGGTAACTTTACCCCGCTTGTCTTCACCACGGCTGGCAGTGCATCCCCAGAATGCTTGCGGTTTTTTGAAGCGATTATGCGCTATGCTGTCACAGCATGATGGCAAGCCCTATGGCGAGGTTATGGCCTATGTCAGATGCTGTCTGTCGTTTGCACTCCTCCGAGCTGCAGTTATGTGCATCAGCGGGGCTCGCTCTGCATACCATCGACCGGTAAATGCATTGCGCCCACTAGCCATGGCTGAGGGACGGATGTAACAGTGGTGTGTATGACCTCGCTAATGGCAGTGTCCTCAATGCTAATGGACGCGTCATGTTTTTGTTTATAATTTAAGGTGCAATTTAGCGCTGATGTGGGTATTTCTTTGCTTTTCTTCATTTGGTCCTTTAAAATGAAGCGGCTTTTTATTTCCTTTTTCTTCCTTTGCACCGAGATATTATTTCTTGCTGTTTTTTACTGGATGTGTCACGACTTTGAATTGAATTGAATTTTCTTAAGTTGATTTGATTTTTAGCGTTATGAGCGGCTTTATTGACATTGCTCTTCAGATTGGATTTTTTATTGGCCCGTAAAAGAGGCTCCTTTACATCCTAAATTCTGCACTATTCTGTTCGTGTTGACTTCACATGTGTGACTTGCACAAATTGTACCAGTATGCAGTGTCTTATACAGTACTATTCAGTTCAATTCTATCCGCAACTGATTATCCTCTGGTGAGCTGCTTTTAGTGAAATCATGAAACATCATTTGTCGTGCAGTGCTAGTTGTCGGAAGTTGTAGCGTGATGCTATATTTGAGATTTAAACTTGTGGAAGTTTACACCTTTCTGTGTTAGAAGCGCTGTGTATTCCTAACATAGATCCAGGACTATGTGTATAGAAGGAGGGTGTGTTATCTTTGCAGATGCTTGGTGGCACACCTAGCTCAGGAAAGTGTGCCCAGTATTTCATGATGTGTTGACCATGTTTGTCTACAACTCCCAGGTTCCGTTTTTGAGGTTTTGGCACTTTAATCATTTTTCAATTAGGTTGAGGTGTTTTCCTTTTTTCTTTATTTTTTCTTTATTAAAAACTTTACGTAGTTACATTTTTTTCAACATTCCCTGTGCTATCTTGATGAGGAGTGAAGGAAAGCGTTGTTTAGATGAAAGAAAGTGTCTACTTGATAGTGTCGATTTGCGTCTCTGCATGCGAAGGTATAGATTGCGAAAATATGGGGTTTTGTTCTAAAGTATGTAGTGCCGCTCTCAAAACATCTGTTTCAATTTCCCCTGTCTGGTGACCACTGCCATGCCTGAAACTTCTCTTTGCACCTGGTCTTGGCGCTTTTCCTGATATTTCTCTGGAAATTGGTCTGTTTAGCACTCTATTCGAGGTGCCTATACCTTTTGTGGACATATACGTGGAGTGGTTTCATTGGTTGGTTGGATCACATCAATGTCTTTATAAAGGCTTTTTTTGGAATACAAACTGTCAATTCTGCAGATAACTGGTACTTTTGCTCACAGAGCCAAGAAGCATCGGGAAGCCTCGAAACACTTTACGTTCCCAAACCTAAAACATACGATGATGCGTCTGCTGAGTGTGCCCGGAGACGTAGCATTCTGGCAAATATCCAGACTAGATATCATGGAGAGTGTGCAAGAGAACTGCTTGGACCCCGAAACGGTCAGTGCAACAGTTCTTCCAGTGGTAACTGCACGACTTCCTCGTACTTCTGCAAAACCAATACATGCAATGTGTGGGTTGCTCTTCAACGACCATCTCCATCCAAATCCTGGACATGGATGTTACCTGTTCCAATCGTTGCAAAAAACGTTTCTTGGATTACTGCACCACTACAAGAAGGTGGTGGACGGAACGAATGCGGATATTATTCCCCGGAGAAAGACAGTTTTGGAATCGAATCTTGCTCAATGAAGCTAAGTTTCTATTGCCAAAGATATACACCAAAAGGTAGGGATCTCATAGAAATTCTTTTACACACCCATTAGGCTACTCTTATACTTGCCTAACAGCCTTTCCGTATTCACCTAACTATGCACTAAAGGGGCTGATATGTAACATTAATTTGTAAGAAAAGGTTGCTTTTAAAGCTTGCTAACCCACTTAGGCCATTCAATGCACATTTTTCGATCCATGATCATTATCACAACTACCATCATACCAAGATCGCGATCGATGTACATTTCTTCTTCCAAAACCTTCGGGTTTGTTTTATTCCTAGGGAAACATGGCTCGGGCAGGCAATTACCACTTGGCGCGGTGATTGGAGAGATTTATAGCCAGCTTCGGGAGTACGAAAATGTATAGAAAGAAAAATCGAAAAATGAAGAATGAAAAGTTGAAAACTTGTGGTCAGGTGCTTTTTGCAGGGGTACGTGGGTGCTGCTAATGGGGTTTCAGCCTCAAGCGCTCAATATCCCGCTAGGGTCTAATGGGGTTAGCGTCAGTCGAGAGTTCCCGTCGGACACGGACACAACCATTTTCTTTAATATTTGCTCGAAATAGACTTGGGTATGTGTTAAATAATCTTAACCCTTGCAGTTCCGAAGCACGTACTAGCTGGCATTACACGCGATATTCACATTGGGCACTAGGAATATCGCCATTTCACTAACCAATAATGATATCACCTAATTAAGGAATTTCCAGTTCTTGGTCTTGGGCAGTAGATACGATAGATTTGACCAAGCAATACGGCAGTAGTTAACATGTGGCAAGATAATGAATTGTAAGAAGAAGAGCGAAAGCGGACAGGAAGATGGGCGCAATGTGAGTATAATTATTACAGTTATGTCCCGACTTGGAGTATTTCGCTCCTGCTCTTGAAGCCGTTGAGCGCTCTTGTCTTTGCTGTGTGCGTTATGCAGAGCTCCCTGACTTGTGAGTTTGAGCACTCTGGCAAGGTTCTGCATGTACCTTCGTCAACGTCCTTCACATCTAAGAGTTTCACGTTTCAGTCTTGTTTGCGCCCCTCTTCCCCTCCTACTCCTATAACTTAGAACCTTTCAAGTTGGAAGGTGGTTGGAGTGCGATTCCAATAGAAGCTCAAATACGTGCTAGAGTTTACTGGCAATTGGTTGTTGACCGTCACTACTGTTCAACAGTGTCGTTCAATTGCATTGCATGACTTGATATACAAGCAACTAATGTTGTTGTTAATGGGCATTATAGCGTAACTTGCATTTCCTGGATCATTTTCTTTCCTATCTATATATTTTATATACCTGTTAAAGATTGCTGGAGTCTCGGTTCGAAAATCTTTTTGAATTCTGATTTTCTGGAAGCAGTCAAATAGTCCGTACATATATAACTATTCTTGCATTAGAAAGGTAATATTCGACAAACTAAAAACCATTTACTTGTACATGTCTTGTTCACTGGTATTCCATGCGTTCTTTAATATGCTCTTTCCCCTGTAGTGCCCTCCGCCATAGCTGTCAACTCTACAGACACGCACATCTACGCACGCATAGTACAGCCTAAGATACTTCGAGATTGGGTTTCTGATTTCTGCTTTATGTACGAGAAAAATGGAACTGCGGCTACCCCGACGGTAGTGTGCGACAAAAATGAATCAACTGTTCTGTCAGGCCTGGCAACAAATACTTTGTACCGGATCAGAGCATTCTTCAAAACTACGATCGGACACAATAGCAACATGTCCTCCGAAATCAAAATTGGAACATTGCCGAAAGGTAAGGGATGCGGTTACATCATAATTATACCGACACCAACAGGGTCAGGAGTTAAGAGTTTTGCGTGACTCTTTAAGGATTTGGTGAAATGAACATTCTTCCTATTGTTCCGGGCAAATTCGTTTTGCCACGATCGATTTCCTCAAATGACATTCCATGTCACGCTTCACATAATATGCATTGCTGATTCGATCTAGGATATAGCCACAAATGTGCCCAAATTATTTCGTTGGCAGGGAGAGGTGTAAGGGAAAACAGCCTCGTCGCTGCCATCCGTAAAGCTAAACGTCACTTCTACGACCAGATGTCAGAAGGCCTTCATGCAGATCGAGGATCTTATGACTGGTGGAAGAGAGTCAAGAAAATGTGCCACATCAATTGTCCTCACACCGCTATACCTGATATACAAGGAGTCGATACCTTATGGGTTACCGACCCTGAGAAAGCGAACATCTTCTGTCAACAGTTCGCCAAGAATAGTCAAGCTACACCGTCGTCGCATGCAGATCATCGTGATCTCGCCATGCCTTCTTCTTCGGAAACATTTGCCATCCGCCCTCTGTATATCGTGGAAGTATTCAAGGCACTGTCGACCCTAAGTGTGCGAAAGTCTACAGCTGGCAGTCTTCCTAACAGGATCCTACGAGAGACAGCAGAAGTGCTCGCCCAATCCCTCACTGCTCTCTTTAACCGCTGCACCACTTACCGATCCCAACCCCTTGAGTGGAAAGTTGCAATCGTTACCCCAATTTACAAGGGTAAGGGAAGTCGCAATGACCCTGCTAACTACCGGCCGATATCTCTGCTGAATGGTATGGCAAAATGCTACGAAGCGTTAATCAGCCGCCAGGTGTACGCGTTTGTAGCGAAACACAAACTACTGTCGCCGAAACAGTTCGGGTTTCGCCACCACCGAAGCACGGTTGACCAACTTGTGCATATCACATCAACTGTCAGCTCTGCATTTGATAACCGGGCCCAGTGTGATGCCGTCTTTCTCGATTTCTCGAAGGCATTTGATCGTACCAGCCATCGCCTCCTAGCCTCATGTCTGTCCGGTTGGTGTGCACCTGACTCATTCGCGTGGCTGATGGACTTCCTGGAAGGCCGATCGATGTCTGTGCGGGTCGGAACCTCCTTATCAACCCGTATGTCGCTCACCGCTGGTGTGCGACAAGGCTCCCACCTAGGCCCCCTATTATTCAACCTTTCTATCAACTCCCTTCCCAGCATTCCCCAATCCAGCGATCTGACTCTGTTTGCGGATGATTCCAACATGGTCTGCGTTTCTCCGCCTACTGTCGTACCCGCCGCGCACACTGCATCCCTGCAACTAGACCTTGATAGATGTGTGAACTGGTCCCATAAAGCTGAAGCAGTTTTCAATGCTAACAAATGTGTCCATGTTCCCTTTTGCAGACCTAAATCAAACCCACCTGATCCCAGGACCGTCACCATGGCCGGTACGTTACTGACCCAGCCCTCTTCCCACCGCCATCTGGGCATCATCCTCACTCCTTCACTCAATCTGTCCCCCCATATTCAACACATTACCAGCAAATTTCGAGGTCGGGTTTTTCTTTTAAACCACATGTCCAACTTCCTTCCTTTTCCTGCTGTGAATCTTTTGTATAAATGTTATGTTCGTCCCCTCCTTGAATATGCTGTTCCCGTTTGGATGTTTTCTGTTTCAGCCACCATGTCCACAACCCTTGATAAACTGCAGGCTACTGCTGCTAGAGCATACTTAAATAGTAAACTCAAGCGTCGGCCTGACTGGACGACTTCCAAAGAAGACCTCAATGTTCTGTCCTCTTGGGAATCGTTAGCATGGCGACGGCAGATTCTTGGCCTTGTCTATTTCCACCATGTATTCTCCCAATACCCCTCCTTGTTGTCTCACTTCCAGCTACCCTCTTCCCAAAGCAGTCGTCACCCTTCATCCATAATTATTCCTAAAGCTGGCACCTTCTTTCGTAAATCAACCCATTTTTCTTTGAGTGTTGCCTGGAATAAACTTCCTGAAGATATTCGTTCACTCTCTACAACAGCGAAATTTAGTATTGCTGTTCGTCGGTATCATTCGCAATCTATGTTTTCTTTGAAAGGTATTCCTGACTTTTGTGTCTAGGCTAACCACATCTATGATAGTTTCAATAGTTTGTGTATATGTCAGTTATAGTAGTCCGCAATGCTGCTTTTCTAATTCTCATTATGATTAGCATGCAATGTACTACCCGAAGTACTGAATTTACTTCTTCTCCACTCTATATTCTAATGTATCTTCTACCTCTTCTCCCTTACGAACATACTTTCTCATTTTCCATACTTATATAGGAGACTCCCTTTGATAGGAATCTATTTGCCTCTGGAGGATCCGTGAAATAAAAATCAATCAATCAAAAACATGAGAATACGATTATAGAAATAATCTACGTGGAGATAAAAAAAATTGTTTTTTCACGGCTGAGCGTAGCGAAAGAGTGCAAAAAACGTATTTTTCACTCACAAATATTTTCGTGCATTTGCTCTTGTTCTGCGCAACTCCGTTGAACCTGCCATCGTGGTCTTTGTTTTTCCTCGTTGTAGTTGAAGTTGCCCGCCCACCCACCCTGGGTTCATGGGAGTCGTCCGCTGTTCTTCTTGACAATCTATGCCTATGTGTCTGGCTTATGATTATGACATACACCGGTTATTACATACCATTTCTTGCTATATCTATTCTTGGGTCCGACTGGCAGTGGGGCAGGAATTAATGAAATAGAAAGGTTTTTTGGCCAAAAGGCGTGTTTTTCCTCTATCTCGGTTGAGCAGTCACGGCTAGGAATGTAGGGAGTCATTGTTTTTCAGGCGCTCCCCTGCTGCCCAGTCACCCATGGTCACCACTGGCCATGCTGTTCACTGGATTTCACGGCTTTTTCTCCCGCTTGCTGGCGGTTCTTTGATGGATTTAGATATTTTTCGGCTATTTATCTATTATGTGGCTGAGAGTGTGGTTTTTTTGCTTCTACTCGTTTCTGGAAAACCACCACGGTGGTGAGTGTGATTGCTCTGGTAGACCACTACCCCATGTACTGAACAGTCGCTTTGTGAGTGAAAAGTTTAATAATAGCTATGAAAAGTATGAATGCCGCAGACATCACCACGCAACATGACAATTTGTTCAAGGTTTGGTTTTGTGTGTTTCCAAAATCGATTTTCACGCTCCGATCATCAGTGGAAATACGGAACTAAAGAGATCAATGGAAAAACAAAGGTTAAAAGGTTTCTGCACTGTTCATGCCCGTTTGTCACACTTACTCTATATTTTAGTTCTCACTTTTGGGAATACTTACCACAAGTTACCCATCATGTGTCACACTTCTTTGGATTTTTAACCTTTGTTTTTCCCTTGATCTCTTTAGGCCCGTATTTCCACTGATGATCGGAGCGTGAAAATCGATTTTGGAAACAAACAAAACCAAACCTTGAACAAATTATCATGTTGCATGGTGATGTCTGCGGCATTTATACTTTTCATAGCTATTATACGATCATAGTTTCTTTTTTTAACTCGGATGTGGAGCGAATTAAATTATTGTGAAAAGAAGAAGGACACAATGTTACGAGTTGGGGGACAGTTAGTCATAACTCATAACATTTTGTCCTTCATTTTTCATAATAGTTTCTTATCAGTGTTATTTTCACGTGCATGATCCTTAGTCACTGCCTTGCATGCAGTCTTTTCCTTTGTCACACCGGGTGTATATTTGGAAACTATTCCATTATCACGTAGCTCAACATCATTATCACCTTACTTGAATCTATACGGTACTAGAGAAACTGTGAGTGGACCTTTTTGATCCACAGACTTGAACGCGGCAGTGCTAAAAATAATAATAAGAATAATTTGTGTCTTTCCCTCAAACTAACGAAGAATAAGAAGAATATGAATGATAATAATCCTTTGGTAAATTTTCTTCTAAACAAAACAATTTCCTTAGTCATTACACGTGATGTGGATGTGTTTTGTATCAGCACCAAATCCGCCTCTTAACCCCGTCATCTCAAGTACTACTATCACGGTGTTTCTAGGGCAAATAGAAGAAGGCAACCTTCCCATACGCCAGTATTGTGTGCACGGAATACCTGCTAATGATCTGTCCGGGAATATGCCATTGGTACCAGTATGCAGCGCCTCGAAAAATGTCACCTTACCTGGCCTAAAACCCAACATGAGCTATAATGTCACCGCCTATGTTAGCAATGCCTATGGAGACAGTGACCAGTCCAGTTCCACTCGCATTACCACGTTGCCCACAGGTGAGGATGAATTTTGTTTTAAGCATTGTACGTAGCTTTGGATGTGGCTAGCACTTAGAATGTCATCACACGAAGCACGGAAGCGATATGGTTTCGAATAAGCCTTTCGAACCCTTACTTTCCAAGTCGAGTACAATAATGAATAACACAGCAACCCGGTTTGAACAAAGTTGCAAGCAAATCCTTATAACCGGCACTTTGGAGGTCAGAGCATTTAAAAAATATCACTTATGAAATTTTGGAAAGCTACCTACACTAACTTTGAAAGTGTTGCCAGACATGATAACCTCTGTGTCAAGGTTATGCGTAAAATAGAATATGGATGACTTAGCAAAACAGATTATGAGTATTGCCAAGTGTTTAGCTACATGTTGTCAGCAATCAACGCTTTCTTTCTTCACAAGGTATGTGTGGCCTTAGCAAGGGCAGTGCAAACGCACAAAAAATGAAAACAACAGACACAATCTTTTTTTCGTTACACAGAAAAACGAATATCGTTTTTGGTCTCTACATTGGTCACTATATATACATCTGAACTTGTCAACATTGTTATCTGCCAATTTTATAGTGCCATCTTCAACAACACCCCCAACCTCGGGCAATGAAGCAAGCACTAGCGGGATCAGTGTTGGAGGATTCGTCGGCCTAGCTGTGGCAGGAGTCCTAACTCTAATCCTGGCTGTAGCCATGGCGGCCAACCGAAAAAGGATTTCTCGCTGGTTCTCATCGAAAGATTTTATAGGTACACAATCCACTGTCCTCCCTGTCTTGAAGCCTTTGTGTTCAATGCACGGTCGATTCTTTTTCTCAGTATAAACAGCGCTAAATCCTGCAATGCCCCCTTCACTGAAGCTAGAAAAGCTTTTGTTTAGTGAAGGATTCCTGCCCTAAGAGATCCTTAAGCATAATATTATGATAAAGGCAATCATTACAATTAGCTGAACCGACATTTATTACAGGGTGCCACAGAGTTCTTGGCCATTGAAGAAAATGTGTTGAGTCACATTCACCATTACACTGCACTCGTTAGCTGACTAGACCCTCCTGCACACAGCCATCAAAATTCCGAGGACACTTCCTTAGACGATATTGATAAACTGCTTCAGACAGCTGTTTCGTTAATACATAGCTCATCAGTGAAGGTAGATGTTGATTGATTTAAATATAGACCAAACTGCTACACAAGTCACAGGAAAACCACGCGTCTTGATTGTCGTAACTTAAAGTTTCATGCCATATAGCAATCTTCAGACAACTGATTACGGTGATGCACAGCTAGTATGGTATTTATACAGCAGCATAGGAAGGAATCTGTGAAGGTTTGAGGTCTGGTGGGTGGAAAAAGTCCTTGATGGAAAATGTGCCAAACTCACATGGTCCGTGAGTGAGAAAAGAAATGTGATATGGCAGGAAGGCAAGCAAGGCTGTGTGAAAGGATGATAATGATAATGTGGCTTGCCTGTAATCACAATCATACAGGTGCAAGATGCCACACACTTTGGTAAGCGCTTAAAATAAGTTGGAGGAGGGGAGATACTTGCTCTTCAATGCACCAACAAAACAGGTGCAAGATGGAAATTTCCACGCGCTGTGATGGCTATAGGTGCTTAGAATGGGCGAGGAACATGAAAAGAAATGACCACGATGACGCGACGTCAAGCAAGGCCATATGCAAGTCCGCATCATGGGACATGCATGCAGCGTTAGAAATTCGGCGCGGAAAATCAACCACTATGACTATCAGTGCAGAAATAACGTGCCAGAATCAGTGTACTGCGTAGCTATTGAGAGTCTGTGTATCGCACTTGTCCGAGTTCCGTGGAGGCCGGCAAACGCCCCTCACGTCAGAGCAATAATAGGGACAAGACGAGTCAAGGGACAATCCGCAGGACGCAATACCATACGACCAACTGTTTTTTTCTACCAGCGTTATTGTACTGTCCACACACATCTGACGACGATATACTGGGCGAATGCCGCGGGGCCTCGCAGCGTGTCAGCGGCATCGGGTGATGGGCAGATAACAAGGTAGCTTGCGGACAACATTGGTGGCATGAATACTAATGAGTGCCAAGCGTTTTGGCGCGACGGGCGACCAGTACAGTGCTTCAGGGGCTGCTGTGGCTGTCGACGTAGGCGGATCGTGTGGTGTGTTTGCCGGCCTTCATGGCGCTCGCACAAGAGCCATACACAGACTCTCACTAGCTACGCAGTAAACTGATTCTGGCACGTTATTTCTGCATTGATAGTCATAATGATTGATTTTCCGTGCCGAATTTCTGACGCTGCATGCATGTCCCATGCGCGTCAACAAAACTTCACACTTTCGCGCGTTATCACCTCAGTTATGCCAGTTTTGTATGTGGAAACCTTTTATAATAGCAGTTTGGTCTACACTTTACACAATCAACATCTTCCATCACTGATGAGCTATGTATTAGCGAAACAGATGTCTGAAGGAGTTTATTAATATCATGTACGGAAGTGTCCTCGCAATGGTGATGGTTGTGTGCAGGAGCGTCTAGTCCGCTAAGGAGCGCAGTGTAATGTTGGAGGTCACTCAACATGAACCGACATTTGTGTACGATATTCATGCAATGTAAAAACAGTATAGTCGATGTGCAATAAAACGATGAAAACAAGAAGAAATGGTGTACATCGTCTCCACTGGTTTACCATTGCATGAATAAAGTACACAAATGTGGGTCTAGCTAATTTTATTGATTGCGGTTATCAAATTATTGTCCCCTCACCGTTTGCATAACATTATATTAATTTTAATGGGGATCTTATGGAGATAAAAATACAGCTCTCTATGTTTGTTTCCTTATTTCTATGCCTTCGTCTGCCTCTCAGAAGTTTTCTGACCTTTTGCTCTTTCAGTCTATACCTCTTTCTGTCCGTTTTCCCTTCTCTTTCTCTCTTCATCTGTCACTTACCATTTCTCTCTGTCGGTCTCTTTGTCCCTCTAAACCTCTTTCTCTTTCCCTGCCTGTTCGTCTCTCGGTATGTCTCCCGATCTCTCTCCCTCTCCGCTCTTCTAAACGTCAACCAATGTGGTCATGTTAGCAGCATGAATTTTGCCGAGGGAATGTGTTTTCGAAGTAATGTGAATTCTGTGCTTTAACGCTACATGAAATGCTGGGTATATATGTTGGACTCAGTAGAGCGTCCAGTCCCTATATGATGTCCAACCCCTATATAGAGTCCATTTGTCCAAAATCCACTGTACAGAGTCCAAACTTGGAATAAACTGTGAGCTCAAAGTTTAGATGGACATCACTCCCTGTATAGAGTCCAGCCAATTGGCTTCACCCCTATATAGAGTCCATTGGTCCAAAATCAACTGTACGGAGTCCAAACTTTGAAATCAACTATAATGTGAATTCTGTGCTTTAACGCTACATGAAATGCTGGGTATATATGTTGGACTCAGTAGAGCGTCCAGTCCCTATATGATGTCCAACCCCTATATAGAGTCCATTTGTCCAAAATCCACTGTACAGAGTCCAAACTTGGAATAAACTGTGAGCTCAAAGTTTAGATGGACATCACTCCCTGTATAGAGTCCAGCCAATTGGCTTCACCCCTATATAGAGTCCATTGGTCCAAAATCAACTGTACGGAGTCCAAACTTTGAAATCAACTATAAAGAGTCCTTATGTGGACAACACTCCCTGTATAAAGTCCAGCCAATTAGGCATCCCCTATCCAGAGTTCGAAATTAGACATAGAATCTGCTGTCAGCAGTGAATATTAACTAGGAAACGGCCTCTCCCTTTAATCCTTTACATCATTCACTTCTCAAGATAAAGAATAAGTATCGAGGCGCCACTGCAGCCACTTCATTACATGAAAAACCCCACAAACACAATCCTCAAATCAAGTGGTCTCTTCGCAGACGCTGCAAATTACAATATCTCAATTATGTAGTGTTGCCAAAGTATTGTGCACGCACACACACACATGCACACAACGCCAAGAAAATATCTAGAAAAAAGACCAAGAATTGAAAGAGAATAATGGAGAGCCAAGGATTAATTATTTGTTTTCAAATTATTGTGCGCGCGCACACACACACACACACAAACTTATACAACGCCAAGAAAACACCAAGAAAAGAGTAGAGACACAATACACACGCAACTCCAACAGCCAAGCAAACGTCCACCTATTTACACGTAAGGTCAAGAGGGATAACAAATAATTATACGAAACGAATGCATACGTGGGCGGATGCACAAACGTTTACATACATGTAGTAGTGTAAGAGAATAACATAGTGCAGTGGTCAGCATAATGCTAGCACATGCTGAGAGTGCAATAGCAAGCTTCACCATTGCTCATGGCCATGCAAATGTTCAGCAGCACTCAGTTCCGCAAGCTTCTGAAGATCAGCACACCTGCAACAAAGAGATAGCACAAGGATACGCTTATTACCGTAATGATGCATGGGAGCACACAACTACCAAGTTCTCAACAAATGTGATGCTCAATGAAAATCCATCCACTCAAAGACCTGTGAACAGGTGACGGTGGGGACAATAATCTATTAGTAATACGAGGAATAAGGTCGTTTGTGCACACTCAAGACGCACAGACACACCACCATACATGTAGTGTACACAGTGTTTCACTTCACTGTAACTAAATTGAAAGGAGATGATTTGAACAATCTGTACAGCGTTGCAGTCCGTCAGTCTTCCCTAATATGTAAATGCAATGATTTGTTGTCACGAGGCAGTTTCACTGACACAATGTCATGTTTGTTACATCAAAACGGTTACTTCATGGAATACGAGTACATGTATTAGCTTGAGAAGCTTTTTCTTGTCATCGGCATACAAGAAATCCTCCTCCTACTACTACTACTACTACTACTACTACTACTACTAGTACACTGGCACTGCGTTTGTGGATCCCATTGTATTTGACATCATACTAGAGGCTGGTAGAGGAAGAGTGTCGTGGAGTTCACATAATTATCACAGGGATAAAAATACATTTCTCATGAAATAAAATAATAATTGATGATAGCTGACGATCGTATACGATTGATGCAAAGTCCTTGCAGTCCTTGAGGATTATTACGAAGTGGTTGATTACTTTTAGGGCATTCATCCAAGCAACATCAAACAAACGCGATACGCTCCTTGAAAATGGAAACAAATCCAAGCATAACGACAGAACAGCAGACCAATCGAAACGAGTAAAAGCTTCCTTACCTCAGTCATCGTCCTGCCATGTAGTTGGACAGCCTTTTGACACGGTGGTACAGGCAGCTCTTGTCCAGTCGAACAGGGTATCCTTGTGGCGTCGAACGAAAGAGAGTGTCAGTGTATCTGACCGTCGTCAGATTGGAACTGTGCTGAACCTTTCTCGTTCTCCGCTTTCTGCTTTCATCCCTCGCTCTGATGAAACCGTTCAAACGTCTTCAACAGGCAGCAATGGACAGCCAAACAGGTGATCTTTGTGGCGTCGAACGAAAGAGAGTGTCAGTGTACCTGACTCGTCAGATTTGAACTGTGCTGAACTTTTCTCGTTCTGCAATTTCTGCTTTCATCCCGCGCACTGATGAAACGTCTTCAGAGAACCACAATACGCTTTCCAGATTTGATTTTGAACGTCTCCTTATTCTCCTTGGTTACCTCGAGACAGATTACTGTCAGCAACGGCACAGCAGAACTGACAGCCATGGCTGAAGTGAAGAAAGGAATGCGCTGCCACGAGGCAAGCAGAACTGAAAAGATGTTTGTTCTCTTTCGGGCACAACACACAGTACAGGACGGCGTGACTGGATAAACTGGACACCTGGACCGTGAATCGGGCCTTTCGGGGACTTGTAGAAAACGTGTACTCCCGGGGATTGCGCGGCAGGATGAAGCTGATCAAAACTGAGTGGACTCCTGGACTCTGTGTAGTGGATTTTGGACCAATGGACTCTATATAGGGTGCTGGACATCATATAGTGCATGGACTCTATACTGAGTCCTACATATATTCACAAGTCAATGTCGAATATCAATTATCAATCTCGACAGGGAATTTACCATTACATGCGATGTTTTCTTGTGTGTTCCGCTCTCCTTCTAATCATCAGTTCCAGAAGAGAGGCCACAGGTGAGTGCAGCGAGAAACAAGTTTACATTATGCACCTTATCTGTCCTCATTCATCTGTTTTGGTCTAAATATCACACAGTATCGCCTATTGAGTACTATGCACAAGAAAATCCACGTACGCCTTGCGAGCAATGTAGCGGCAGCATCTTCTCTATGGCTTTGTCTTTTCTTACGTCTTCTCCTTGACTGTGCACCTCAATTAATGATTTTTGAAAAACTATCACTGTCGCAAAAGCGAAAAATGCTGGCCAACCACGACCTCCTTTGTATTTCGGAGAAAAACCATCGAACAGTTTAGAATTACTTAGGTAGAGTATAGGTAACTCTTTACTGGCCAAGAAAGCGCCAAAGGAAGCTGCGATGCACCCCTGAGTCAAGTGACCTGATCCATTTGAAACTCTGCGTCGCAACATAGCTTCGTACCCCGCGATTGTGTGGACGACTGCGTTCTTGATCACATTTCAGTTTTTCGACAATGCCTCCTCCAAGCAGTTAGTTCTTGAGAAACATTTTTGACCTCCTTATATCGCATGAAGGGGAATCTGTGGAGCCCTAGGTAGCCTAGCGACATAATATTCTACAGAATCACAAGTAAAGTGTTGACTCTCACCAGAATATACTCTAGCGGTTTCGTACCCTTCCCGCACAGGAAGCTCATCCAATTGAACTTATCCAGTACGAGGATGTTCAACGCAATGATGAAGGAGAAGCCCACAGGCCGCAAGATCACGAAGAACAGGTACGGAGAAGAAGGAACAAAAATAATTTTTTGAAAGTATAATTATATTTATGACATTTATTCAAGTGTAATCTCCATTAAACATAGCCTTGAATGAAGGATTGACATGAAGAGGAGAGAATGAATTAGCGAGATTACATACAGAAAAATGAGTAGAGTGCTGACTCTCAAGCACATAATGAACGCAATTCAAAATTATTATCTCGTTTTACTGGTCAGTTCAAGCCCATTTTGCACGACGAGATGGCTTTCAGCAGCTTCACATGTTGAATGACGAGGATTTTACCGTGGGTGCAGCTTGGCGAATGGGGCCTCTAATTTTGCAATCTTCTGTTCAGGCTGTTTCACAGGAGTATTCCTACGCTGCAGGTGGTGCTCGTATTAGAGACGAGAAACCTGCAGAAGCAGACACTGACGTGACAGGAACAGAACACAGCCACGACAAGGAGACAGAGGCGACAGCGGTAAGACCTGTGGAGGAGAAGTGATGATAATTCTTTTGTTTTAGACTTGGATCTTGTATTAATTTTCTTTTTTGTCCGTATAACTGAACGGGAATTCAGCTGAGTTGGTGACAGCTTTCTTCCGTGCTCTTTCTACAGTTGCGCACATTGAAATCGGACACAATGTGTGCACAACCAGCGCCTTACACCAGATCTGACAACATCATTGCACTTCTACATGTGAAAGTCCTGAAATCCACACTATAATCGTGGCATTTCATTGACGTCAGGGTCCGCGCGAGTCTAGGGTGTGAAGTATGCTCTTTGAATCTGATTTCACCGAGAATAAAGGTATTTTGAAAGATAGCTGCTTTTCTAAGAGAAGGAGACCACACGTCACACAATCATCATTGTAACTACAACGACAATCACTATTTTCCCCAAGATAGTTATCAACAGCAGACACATACACCGTGACAGCACTACCAGGCTCAGTACATGAGTTCGAGTTTCGAGACAATGGAACTGACTTGTTAGTTCGTCACCTTCTTGCCGATATTGGAGATACTTGGTCTCTTTCATGGAAAAAAAGGTGTTTTCACTCACAAAGCGACTGTTCAGTACATGGGGTAGTGGTCTACCAGAGCAATCATACTCACCACCGTGGTGGTTTTCCAGAAATGAGTAGAAGCAAAAAACCACACTCGCAGCCACAGAATAGATAAATAGCCGAAAAACATCTAAATCCATCAAAGAACCGCCAGCAAGCGGGAGAAAAGGCCGTGAAATCAAGTGAAACAGCATGGCCAGTGGTGAGCATGGGTGACTGGGCAGCAGGGGAGCGCCTGAAAAACAATGACTCCCTACATTCCTAGCCGTGACCGCTCAACCGGGCTAGAGGAAAAACACGCCTTTCGGCCAAAAAACCTTTCTATTTTCATTAATTCCTGCCCCGCTGCCAGTCAGACCCAAGAATAGAGATAGCAAGAAATGGTATGTAATAACCGGTGTATGTCATAATCATAAGCCACACACATAGGCATAGATTGTCAAGAAGAACAGCGGACGACTCCCATGAAACCAGGGTGGGTGGGCGGGCCACTTCAACTACCACGAGGAAAAACAAAGACCACGATGGCAGGTTCAACGGAGTTGCGCAGAACAAGAGCAAATGCACGAAAATATTTGTGAGTGAAAAATACGTTTTTTGCACTCTTTCGCTACGCTCAGCCGTGAAAAAACAAAACAAGTTCGCGCAACTGTGCGGCCCTCCACATTCTTGGCACTGATGTCCTCCTCCAGTGTTTGGCAGCAAGGAAATTGGTCGCCGCCCTCAGCTATATATAAAAGCTGATATGTCTGGCAGGGCCACCGCAACTAACGTCGCTGGTTCCCCCACTGCTTCCTCCACGAACATGTCCTCGAACTCGGTCCGACCACTCGGTGCGCCAGGAGTCTACTACTACAGAACGTCCTCCCGTCTTCCTCTCCTGACTACGTGTGATGCTGCTTCCCCTACAGCATCATTGACGAATAGAACAACTTGCCCCCAACTGAGCTGCAGTCTCCTCCACGCCTGTCGTCCCTCCAGTTGTTCAAGGGCAAGGTGTATCAGCACCTACGACAAAGCCGCTGGTATCGGGCTACAGACTCGCTGGCACACCCCATACTACAGACTCACTGTAACACCCCATGCTAGTCCCGCCTCACGGACACAGGCTCCCTGAGAGCCCCTACTAGTACATTGTCTGTCGTTCTCCTTTGTTGTCTCGATCATTATTCTCTTTTGTCTTCTTCTTCTCCTCTCTTTGTAAAGTCTATCACGAGGAGGTGCATTCTGTAAAAAAAAAAACAGTGCTATAACCGGCTTGCGGCTGGGTTGAGAAACACAACCAGCTCAGAGAGGTGTTGCTTGTTCCAGGCCACCACCGTGCATGATTTTACCAAGGTGGCAGATGCAGCGCAATAAATGCCGAAGGTGAGGTGGAAAAACTCGTCACCAATGTCCGCTACCCCCCCCCCCCCACCACCCTTCGCTATCATATTATTGGAAAACGATCCCGTTCGACTTTGCGAAGTAAAATAAAGAACACATACATAACGGAGGCGAACCTCGTTAGCTGAGTCAATGTTAACTTTACTCAGAACAGCTTCTGGTTTACGCAGTCAAAGACATTTACGTGTTATGAAATCTATCTCAATGTTTACAACCAAACCAGACTTCCACAAACAGAAAAGGTTTTTACACTAGACACCGAATTGTTCTCTAAATCCGGCCCAGTTATCCTCTCCTTCTTGTTAGAAAATTTACTTTCTGGCTGTGAATGTGTACTTCCCCAAGAAGCTAAGGACCTTTCTTCCCCCCGCCTTTTTAAGAGCCTTGTCGCGCCTTCACTTTGATTTTGTGTTTCTCATTTTTTTGCAATCACTACTTATCCATGCCGGTTCCTTTTTTCTTCTCCTCCCCTTCTCCCTTCCTTGCCGTGGTTGGCTAACACCCTCTCTCTTTGTATTGGCCTGTGTTCTCAATGTGCCATGAGATGCTGCAATAAATATACTTTGAAGTATAAATAAATAATATATAAATGTATCTCATAATATACTCATTGATTGTCACAGGATATTTTTGATTTGTATTATTACTGTCAGCGCTCATTATTGTTGCTTAGGGCGCTTGTACTGGGTGCGCCCTATTCATTCTGTAATAACATTCCTATAATATCCTACGGAAGCCATTTGACGAATTATGTGGTTCTATAATTAATTCATGAAATCTAAAAATTTGGCCTTCTCATGCACTCGGTACAACGGTCTTCTGTGAGGAGTATATCACAGATTTGATCGACAAGTGGACGCTGCAGGTTGATCGCCTGGCGGAGGTGGCCACCACTCAGCCACATGCTGCGTACGAGGTGTCAATTTCTTAACCAGATTTCGAGCATCTCTTTAATCGGAATTGCACGAAAACGTGTTTTGGAGTCCTCCTTGCCTCCGATTCAAACCAGCAGGAAAACCGCGAGCTCAGATCCAGGTTCAACAAACATTTTTCCCAAGTATCGCCGAAGTCGCAACAATCTCTTCTTCACATTGTTTTCCCGAACGCGGGCTTGCGAATTAGATGGTTTGGAGGCAACAACGTTGTTCAGCACCTCCATGACCGACACTGACTCACGCTGCTATCTGGTATTCACGAGGTGTTTGCCGCGCTGGAAACGGAGCATATGTGTAAGTTTGTATCCCTGATGATGTTTGTGCCTGGATAGCACTAGTGGTGCTCTTCTGGCACAATCTTCATCAGCCCACTCAAGCTGAAACACGAGTAGTGCTTTCTAGCAGGTATGCTGAGTGAGCGGTTCGATGGACTTAGTATGCTCTGGATGGCAGTCGTGAATCCGCCACGTGCGAATTCAAGTCGGAAAGAAAACTGCGAGCTCCCATGTAGGGAGCAACACACAATTCGACAAAGAAGATTAAGAAGATGACAGAGAACAAATGGGCAGGGGTTTGCAGGACCCTCATGGATGATGGCACAGTGTCTCACTTTATTGGTAAATTCATGCCCATATACATGAGTGGATGGCTTCCAGCACTGGAATATATTACTAGTATTATGTCCTCTTTTCATTCTTCTCCACAGGCATCGGGAGCGAGTGCACTGGAGTATACCTATGCCACGCCTGTTAGTCGTAAAAGAGACGTGAAACATGCAGAGTTGGACACAGACGCACAGGGAGCGGAACACAGCGACAACAGCGAGGAACCAGCGACAGAGGTAAGAAGCTATCATAACTAATGATGCCTGTTAATTTCAGACGTTGATCCGGTATTTGTCTTTTGGGGTGTAGTTTAGAACCTGTCTATAGCTTAGCAATTTCATGCAGTGTTTTATATCTCTAAGGTTGCATTCACTGAAATCGCACTCAATGTGCAATACATGCGCTATAAATCAGTTCTGATCACATCACAGTACGTTTGCACGTGTGGGTACAGCCGTCCAGCATAAATGGGCTGTGCAGGTCGAGGGCGCCAAATATGTCAGAAAGCAACTTTAATTTGACAGTAATAAGGATTTATCAAGCATCTATGTATACCGCTCTCCACTCTGGCATATAGGATTTTCTTTCCATTCCCCTTCCAACCTCCCCTTCCCCTCGCCCTACCCTCTTCCCCCATACAGACCCTGATTTCACTAGATTTCATTAGGTTGTTCTACGACTCATATCCTTGCTATTGTCTTCGCTTTTCCTGTCCCTTATCAGTTGGCCCAGTCCAAGATTGGCTGTGAGAACGTGTTGGGCGAGTTTTTGTCACCGACTGATGATGAAACCATTGAAATCAAGTATGCCGTTCTGGATCAATCAGAAATGAAGCCAACTTCGCAGTTAACAAGAAGCCAAGATCCCAAGGTGGGTATTGAATCCTCCTTGTCAGTTACAGAAGTAGAGAATAACTGGTGTGGCAAACCGACGCAATGGGTAAGCATAAACGTAGTGTGGGGCCAAATTGGTGAATTTTTGTCTTATCAAATGTAGTAAATGGCATTTAAGTGCCTCTGCCTTTCCTTTTCTTCCATACGTAATTATTGCCTTTCACCCCCCCCCCCTCCCCCCCCGCTTGATGATCTAGGAAGCCGGGGACCGTCTAGACTTACATCCGGGAAGGAAATAAAAAGTTTGTCCGTTTGTTTACCTTTTAAATTTACTTCATGAAGTTTAGGGAATGAACGAGGAGGAACAGAAAGGCGTGTTGCGACTTTGAACTTTTGTGACTGAGGTGACAACCCAATACAAGGGCTATAAGAAGTTCGGTAGCTTCTGACACAGCGTCGGGCTGTGAGTATGGGCCATCTTGAGAGTCATGGTCCTAAACCTCAGTAACTACACCCTACACTTGTTTCGGGCAGATATTCGCAATATCAGGTTTCCTGAATAATATGTAAGTGATTACGAAAGAGATACAGAAGCATCGAATTTGTCCACCTATTTTTTTGTATTGTCATGGCGTTTCGAAAGGGTTCCACGCAGGATTTTACAATCATATCGATCGTTTCCCCCCCTCCCCCCCCCCCCACCATCTCTCTCTTTCTCAGCAACAGTTTGTATTTCAGTTGACCGTTGAAGATGATTGCCGAGCCTTTCGTGTTACGTCATGGATTCTCCCTATCGTGTACATCAGTCAAACTACGCTACTTTGATTTGAAACTTGCATTCGTTTATTCCCCCCCCCCCCAGGATGAAGAAGAGCGTGAGCATACGTCATATGCGACAATCTGCAACCCCACCTATGATGTTGCAGGAGATCTCCCATCAGTGAGTTCATTGCTTGATGATAAGATCACATTCTGCTGGATCTGAATGTAGCAAATAGTTCTTCTTAGCGTAGCTATGCAAAAGAAATTGCGTCTGGTGCTAGCCAAGGTCCACACAGCTCTATTTTTGTAATTGTTTATTGCATCGTCGGCCATGCCCGGCGCTATCCCGCACGTTTCCCGTACCATACCATTTAACTTATTCAAAAAGGGCTTTCAACTGAAAGATGATAACGTGAAGCAACTTGCAGGAATGTGTATGTAAGCGAAAAAAATTACATAACCCCCCAAGAGTGTGCAACTCCCACATACTCTGCTGTCTTATCAAAATTTCAAGTTTGTGAAGTCATTATTTATGATGCAATGCTACTTGCACTAGTGATGTACAAGATTTGTAAGGGTGTCAACGCATCACAGATTTGTCTTTGTAATAATTTGTACCAGAGCAGAGAGGTTTTGGTCCAACAAAGGTTCCGGATTCTTCTGATAATCCGTGGTCAGTGCGCATTGCATCATTAAAATGACGTCAACTTGAAATTCTGTTGGGACAACACCTAGTAGTAGTACTAGTATTTATTACAAGTATTTGACAAGGGAGTCACAACAGGCATGGCCTTGTTACAGGGAATCCTAAGTGAATCTTTGTGTGGTGAGCAAAATTACCAGCAAATTGTGCCGGACGACAGTTTGGAGGAAGAGTGCTCCACCGACCTGCCGCCAGAAACCCATAATCGAGTTACACACTCTTGGGAGTTATGTACTCTTGGTGCGAAGTGTATTGGGGGTGTTATGAAACCACAAATTCTCAAGAGTGACATTGTGTTCGTTTCAATGCAGTTGTATCTCGGGAGAAAAGGCCGTGGAATCAAGTGAAACAGCATGGCCAGTGGTGAGCATGGGTGACTGGGCAGCAGGGGAGCGCCTGAAAAACAATGACTCCCTACATTCCTAGCCGCGACTGCTCAACCGGGCTAGAGGAAAAACACGCCTTTCGGCCAATAAACCTTTCTATTTCATTAATGCCTGCCTCGTTACCAGTCAGACCCAAGAATAGAGATAACAAGAAATGGTATGTAATAACCGGTGTATGTCATAATCATAAGCCACACACATAGGCATAGATTGTCAAGAAGAACAGCGGATGACTCGCATGAAACCAGGGTGGGTGGGCGGGCAGTTCAACTACCACGAGGAAAAACAAACCACGATGGCAGGTTCAACGGAGTTGCGCAGAACAAGGGCAAATGCACGAAAATATTTGTGAGTGAAAAATACGTTTTTTGCACTCTTTCGCTACGCTCAGCCGTGAAAAAACAAAACTGTATTGGCTGCAGTACCTATGCGGAAGCAAAGCAAGATTTGCTTGCCTCGCTCGGAAGGACGCCAGAGTCTGGCTGGGGAAGGCGTGGAAGACTTCACTTACAGACAAGCAGCGATCAGAGGAGTATTTGAAGCCAGTTAAAGCAAAATATTCAGTACAGGATTTTGGCCGGAAACAATTTACCACACCGTCCGTAAGTTGCGTTTTGCCGACGGTACCAACGTGACTGAACGTGGTGCTGATAATCCCTCGTCATAATCATGTTGTCTATGTCTTCCCTCAACTTGGATGCTTCCCCATTTTAAGATCAGAATCCGACCTATTGCTGAAAACTGTGAATTGTCGCTCTCTCGTCAATAAATTTGCTGAACTTTCGATTGTTCTGGAGAGCACTAAGCCGAGTATTGTTTGCCTCACGGTGACCTGGTTCTGCCCATCTGCTTCCGTGCATGTACTGGGCTATGCCTGTTTAAGAAAAGACAGACCAGCACACGACAACTGTAATGCACACGCTTTCACTAGAGGATATGGTGGTCTCGCCGTGCTTGTCTGGACTGATGCTTTTCAACATGATCACACAGACCCGACCTGTAGCGTCAGGCCTGTGAATCTGCCTGGGTGGAAGTTAAGTCTCAATGCCCCTAACCATATTCTTGTATGTTGCATGTATCTACCCCCTTCCCAAACGGTGGAACAATTGTCCTTCTTCTCGGATATGCTGGTCGTCGCTATACAGTCCTTTTGCTATGACGAGTGTGACTTCTTGCTGACGGAGGATTTTAATGCAAAACACAATGATTGGTGCTCTTCTGACTCCATCTCTACAGTCGGTACCAACATACCAACGTACCAACATACAGACAGTTTTTCCATGTTTGGGCTCCAACTATTGAATTTCCCAACATACATTCCATCAGTGGGTGCCAACTCGTGTCTTGACTTGATGGTAACCAACAAACCCGACATGTCCGCTCAGTTGATCATGCAGCACCTCTTCGCACATCTGATCACCTGCAGGTTGTTTTTACGCTCAACTATGCATCGTGCTCGACACCACAAGCGACGGCTAAATCGCCAATCCATCCCCGGGCTCAGTACAGGTATAAACAAATGCCTACAAGTGTCTGTCAGGTTGTGAATGAAGACTTGTCTAGATCGGACTGGTCATCACCTCATTGGCATTCAGATGTTGATGATGCCATTGTCCTGTTTGATGCTTTACTACAGCCAGCAATCCGTCGTCATCTGTTGGCTTACAAAGTTATTCCGCGGACCGGACACTACAGTAGGCCTCATCCTACTATGCGGAATGCATCCGACCCTGGATCACTGCAGACCTCAAGTGCGCTGTGAAACTGGAGATTTGTAATGTAGGTTTGCAGCGTACGGCAAACCGTAGTTATCGCTGACAACCGAGCAGCAGGCAAAAGCCACGCGCGTGGCTAGGCGCGCAACAATGGGGGTGTCTGGCATGCAATGGCGGGCAGCCGTACTGGGGAAAGCCCAGGAACAGGCGGTGTGGCGGAGCAAACATACCACGTATGGAAGAGGCGAAGTCCCCGGATGCCACCCGGCCCACAATGACAGACACCACCATGCTTATATGGGAAATAAGGCGCGAGAGCCCACCAGGTAAGGCGGGTCACATAAGCACGTGGCAAGCGCAAATAGCGTAAGACGTACCCAGGAGGCCACAACGCGAGAGTACACCAGCATGAGCAGAGTACGAGAGTACGATGCCGGATCGACGCAGGGCGGACCAAGGTGTGGTAGTGCCACAGCACGAGGCACCTCAGCAGTTGGAGGTGGCGAACGCAGGGACAGCATCAATATTGGCAGCTAGCAGCAACAGCAGATGGGCGTGATTTTTTTCTTCTTCAAGACTAGCAACGAGGAGCGGCAGGCAACCCTCGTTTCACTCGTGATTGCTTAATCACATGGCAAAAAGAACAAAAATGCAACCCCATTCTATGGTGCTATGATGTGTGTGTCTCGGGGGGAGGGGCGATAATATCATTGATAGGAAGTATCAAACCAGTGAAAACTCCATTGCCTTTAAGCGCAAGCGTAACGAAGTGAAATGTTTGTCACGTACCCTCCATCGTCAGTATGTACAGTCGGTTCATGCCACCCTGTCTTTCAATGATCGCCCTAGTCTCCATCAATTTCTCCGCCATCTCCGTAAGAATTGTAGTCGGTAGCCGATCCGATCAATGACAGCTGCAGACGGCACCGCAGCAACAGATCCCGCAGACGCAGCAGACCTATACTATATAATATAGCTGGCTGGCGACCAACGCATTTGGCCTCACCAACAAGCTGGAAGAGCTGCAGCAAGCACTGCTCAACGATAACGTCGACATAGCGGTTATCACAGAATTGAGTTTTTCGGCCCGGACCGTAGCGGTGGCAACACAGAGAGCAGCTGCGGAGGACCAGGCAAGTAGTGCAGCTTGTACAGGCAGGCAAGCGAGGCAACAGTGCGGCGGATGGCCAGGCTGGGTAGGTGTGCCCCAGGGCCGATAGCATGAAGCGCGCGGCGCTGAACATTGTTCAGACGCTGGAGGTGACTCTGCGCAGCTCCAATCCATACAAGAGGCGCATACTCCATGACTGGTCGTACGAACGCCTTGTATACGGTCGTCCGGCCGGCGGGGGTGAGTATGTGGGCGGCTCTGTTTAGGACCCCAAGCCGTTGGCGTGCACGGGTGGCTACGGAGCGTAGATGATCGCTGAAGGTCAACTTTGCGTCCACCTTCACACCAAGGAGGGTGATGGTGGTTGTCTCGGGCACCAGTGTGCCACCAAACAAGAGTGGGGGAGATCTAAGCCGGTGCGTCTGAGGGTGGCTGTCATGGCCTGGGATTTGGTCGGTTCAAACATCACTTTCTATGTACTACCCCACTCGTGCAGTCGGTCAACGGACACCTGCAGTGACTGCGCGGCGACTGTTGGGGTCTGCTGGGAGGTGACTAAGCTGTACAAAGTTGTATCATCAGCATAGGCTTCCAAGCTGGCGCCGTCAGCGAGAACATCTGGCGCGTCGTTGACGTAGGCCAGGAAAAGCGTTGGTCCAATGTATTTGCAGGTATAATTATGAATGGAAATTATCCTGCCAGCTCCCGAAGGGAACTCACGACAGCCGCTAACACCCGGCAATAATTATTATCGAAGAACATTCTCGAATACCTGGGTGATGCACGAATTTTGATAGTGCTCACTTCTTGTTGTGAACCCTCTAAGATTTTCTAAATTGTCAGGATCGTACGACCACACGGCACGAGGACAACTCTTTTCCTTCACACAGTATATTTCACTTCATCGAATAATTAACAATGAACACTAATAACACCAGCTATTTATAGCATGCAAAAACAGCGTACATGCAAAAACATACGCATATAAAACTGGACATAACAGCGTATACAGCAAAACGCACACAGCGCATATAGCGTATGCCATGCAGCAACATCAGCGGTACGGCGGAGTCGAAATACAACATTTCAACGAATACAATGCCATAAGCGCGAAGGCCTTTGAGAACTGGTGGTTTGCAAAATTCTCCCCACGAAAGGGCTTCTCACCGCCGTACAACAATGCACACAAGTCACAAACGATCCGGGGCTCTGACTATGAGCCCAGAACGTGTCATCTCCTGCTGCCGTGGTGGTGGTAATGGT